ACTTGGTCAAATCTTTCTGTATTTATTCCCCTGCTTCTTTGCCCACTTCTCCCAACATCCTGCCTCCTTCCCCCCCCTCAACAAAGCAAAGAGTTTACTGACTGTAAATATGAGTAGATGCAGTAAACTTTCTTTCGAAAAAAGAGAAACTACAGGACACTGCATCACAGGACCAAAGTGGGCAACAATTTGGATTTGCCCATACCATTGGTGGAGATTCAAAACCTGAGACTATGATTAGTGATGTATTATGGCAGGAAAACCTTGACACTTGCTCCATCATAACAGGAAGGAAATTTTGTCTGGTTAGACAAAACTTTTTTCTGTTAATCCTAATGTTGAGAGCAGGTTTTTTATATTTTGGAGTGAAAACCTTTGCTGATGAATACTTCTCAAAAATACTCTTTATTTTTCACCAGCATTTTCAGTATTAAAGAGATTTTTAAAAGATGAATTAATTCTTGAAATTATTTGCTATGAATCTTACTTTGCAGCTTATATAAATATGTGATGAATGGGAATATGGATGAGGCTATGAAAGGCAAAATGGGGAAGTTAAGGATGTTCGTATGTAAAATAAAAGCAAATTATGCAAGATCTTGAGTAGATGTTTATAAATGGTTTTTATCTATTTTTAAGTTCCCAAGACTACTTCATTTAAGTATTGAGTATATTAGATATAATTAAAAGTAAATTGCCTCTGAGAGAGCAGGAGGAGAGTTATTTACTCAGGAGTATTCAAACACTTCTGCAAAACTCTTAGATGTGATTATACCAGACTTCCAGTGATATTCTTAACACTTATGAAATATGCAATACACACACAAAAAATATCCTTTCTATACAAAATGGTCAGTGGAGACTTCTGGGAGTGATATGTCATTCCGTGGTGGTGTCAACTTTGACTGTTTTCTAGATTGCCTTGCTGGGAGATGCTGACTGCTTTGTGTGATACACTTTGTAGTTTTGAAAAACTGTCTGTCTAAGAGGTGCTGTACAGAAAGTGGTGAGTTCACCCCCTGGGTGGCTGAGCTGGTTATTTCTTCCTTGTTCCTAGTCCTGGCTTGGGACTTAGGAGCTAAACACTGATACATTCTGTGGCATACATATGGAGGGGGATGCCTGGAAGGAAGTAAGAGATTTCAGGACATGCTGAGATCCTAGATTTCATGTCTTTAGTCTAAAGTCCAGTGATACACAGTAGGAGTGCCCAGTGTCTGTGAACAGGAGTTATGGACAGAGGCTGAATGTGCAACAAATGCTTCTAGAAGATAGTTTTGCAGGGGTGGGTGGTGTGGGGGTTGTTTTATTTTAACATGTCAGGTGCCTTGGAGCAGCACTGGAAGTGAGGTGTTCCATTTTAGCAGCAGATGAAGCAGCAATAATACAGGCTCCTCTCTGTTCCCTTCATGGTGTGCCTGGCTTCTCACTGGGAGCAGCAGCAGTTCAGTGACCGTGCTAACTCAAACATGGGCCTCATGCTGACGTGTGAAATAATCCTGGTCATAGTGGGAAAACCTGTTTAGCCAGGAGGATAAGAAAACAGTAGGTAATTTGCCAAGGTTCTGGTAGCTTTGTTTTGTTCTGGGTTTTGGTGCTGTGTTTTGTTTTTAGAGTTTTCACAGAGCTTTTATACTTGTCACAGAGGTACCAGAAAGAAATTTCTTACGAGGAAGAAGTTTTCAATTTTTTAAAAGGCATGTAAACTGTATAAAACCACTTCATGTTGGCATGATAAAAGTTTACTGTTACCACACAAGAACAAATATTGCAGAGATTTTGCATGGTCTAGAAAAACAAAACAGACTGCAGTGTCATAAAAAAAGACCACTTAAGAGCAGAAGTGTGACAGTTTGGCCACTTAAATATCTGAACTGGTATGGTTGGGAAAAGTATGCCAAGTGGCAAAATCCTGGCAGGAGACGGGTGGTTTTTTCTGTCATACGATTAGGCAGTTGGATTTTTCCTCAGCAGTTTATCTCAGCTTTGTGTCACTTACCGAGAAGTGCCGAGAAGGCCGAGGCCACATCAAAGACACTTGGGAATTGCAACACAAAACTTGTTAGTTCTTGATTTATATATTTTGTATGCATGTATACAGAATATATATAAATATGAAATTAGTAATTAGACTGGATTTTTCCTAAGGTAAATGACAAGTGAATCCCTGAAGAAAGGGGAACAAAAAGAGACAGCAGCCTCAGTGCTGAGCTGTCCAGGCAAAGTGGAAAATGATGAGGAGCCCTGAGATCTCACCTAAAAAGAGCCATCTAGTCCAGTTACACCCTTTTTTTACAGGAAGAAATGCATGGTGGTGTGTTGACTGTGTGACCTGGAACTGAGTTATCATTTGACCTGGAAAGAAGGAAACCTCTTAAGCTCTTCCCTGGCTTAATTCTGTTCTAAGCTCAGGACTCCTGTATCCCAGATATATGCCCCCATCAACAGATTTGCTTAAGCTAGGGAGGTCATCTTTAATACAGCAGTTGAAAAACAAAATAGTTTCTTGAATGTTGATTTCAATTGATGCTTAATCCCCAAGGGTTTACATTTCCGGACAAGTAATCATCTGGCTTGAGTGTCAAATCTCCTTGGCCCACTTTAATTTTTTGTTCTCGTTCCTATAAACTGAAACCACTTCAGACTGATGGGTATGACAAGCTTGTTCAGTGGTGAAAAACTGAAGTTAGTGACCACGTTTGCAGTAAGGAAGGAGACTTGAAAGCAGCTTTCCTTGAAGCTGAGTGCTCCAAACAGCAGACTTTTGTTTAAAACAGGACTGAGCACGTGTGCAGCCAGTTCTCCAGTTGCTTTGTCCCAGGCCTTACACAAAACCCATGTAATGTAGGAGGTATGCTTTCACAAGCAGTACAGGGAAGAGTATGAAAATGCTGCTGGACGTTAGAGTAGCATTGCTCTTTTGCTTGTGGCTTTTGGCAGAAATTTAAGAGGCCAGAGATTCAGGCACCACTGTGATTAATGGTTAGACTCAAGTTCCTCTGTAAGTCTTGCCTTAAATCAAAACCCAGAAGAAATTTAAAATACCTGATAGAGGGGGGCCTCGCTTACAGTGGCCCCTATTTTGTGCTAGTCTGCTCTGATTTGCATTTTGTGCTTTTAGATACATTAAATATCCTTTCCTGTTTGAGAATATTCTGGTTTTTCCCATGTTAATAGAGAAATTTTTACTTGAAAGCAGTATCATGGAAGTGTGGGAGAATGATTAAAATTTTTTTAAGGAATAAATAACTCTTAGAGGAGTATTTTTAATGCCTGAATGCTTTAGGCTTGAGGACAGACAGCTGCATAATTTTGTACGTCGTGGATAGGTTCCAAGTGTGTGTGTACATGGTCACACAGACATACAAGAATCATTAGCTTATATTTTCACATTAATAGTAAGTCAGGCATAATAAAGACCAGTATTGAACTAGCTTTTACAGATCTGGTCACGATAGATGGAACAGATCTATCAGATGAGGTTCTTGTACCAGCTACTGTTCCCCCAAAAGGGGAGGTAGTCATTATGACACTGATCTGTCTCTTGCACTCCACTAGCTTTTATGGGAAATCAGTGTGAATAAACTGGCTCAGATGAACTCTGCTTAATCTGATCTCATGATTTAACCAGGCATCTGGAAAAAAAAAGCTAATGTCACTGTGGCCAAAGAACGAACACACATCTTGTTTTAAACACTAAGTTAGTGAACAAGAATTAAATAGAATCTTGTCTGAACTTCTGAAAAGGATATTTTACTTTGTCAACTATAACACACTTTAAAACCCCCCCACTAAACTCATGCTTACTCTGTGTCAGAAAATCTTAACAGTACAGGACAGATTAGTCTTTAACTTTCTTACAAGGGTAGGTCAGCTGTATGGATAAGGACACAGATCAGAAATAAGGTAAAGTCATAATTACTTTTTTTTTTTTTTTCACTTAAAATCTGCCTGCTGCTGTCCTCGTACAATACAATGCTCATACTTATTTTCTCTGTAGTATAAACATTTCAGAAAACATCACTAAGGACAATTTTTTGCCTTCTGTTACTTTGCTTATAAGCTTTACTTGAAAAAGCTGCCCTGGTCCTTAATTATGCTAGCTACCAGAAGTCTTGGTCAGAGACTATTCTGAGTCATAGTTTCATCTGTCAGTGCCTTTTCTTCTTAATCACTGGCACCTCCAGGGTTTCAGAATATGTCATGTTCAGAAATGTCATAGTATCACAAAATCTCATTCACTCTTTGCTGCTTGCAATCTAAATATACTTCCTAAAAGAAACTAATTCTCAGAATAGCTTTGCTTCAAAATTTTATTTTTCTTTCAGATGTTCACCTGTTCAACAATGCCTAAATCTGCTTTTTCTTCTATATGTAAAGAATAATCTGTGGAAGAATCCTCCATGCATAGAACTAATGTTATTAAATTTTCTACAGTTCCCTGGAAACACTTATAATCTGAAATTCTGAAAAACACCTTTCAAGTCAAAAGCAAGAACTGTATGAAGTTACAATCCCACTTTGCTCATAGAAACTCCTGTAGGATTTCAACATATTACTCTGTGGAAACTAATTAACAATAATAACAGTAAAATTAGTAATTTTCCTCAAAAAAAATTTGAGTTGTACTCTTATACAAAATTGTGATAGCTTTTATTAGCATTCTTCAGGGGATAAAATTTACTTAGTGTGTGTGACTTTAACGCACTTGTGACTGCAGCACATCATCAGACATGGATCATAACTATGAAGAGCGTTACTGTTATAACAGACTAGTTTATTTGAATTAGTTTAATCGCATATCATGAAGTTTGTTTTGGTTTCTGAACAGCAACTCTCACAGACGCTTCTGTATTTTGGCCTTATCTACCTCACGGCGTTTGAAAGCCCAGCGGGGACAGCTCGGCCCGCGGCTCCTCTCCCGCCGGGGCGCGCGGCCGCTGGCCCCGCCGCTGACGTCACGCCGCTGCCCGTGACGCGTGCGCTGGCGCGGAGCGGAACCGGCCTGCCTGGGGAGGGAGCCGCGCTCCGTGAGGGAAGCGAGCCGGCGGCCGGGAGGTACCGGAGCGCACGTGGAACACGTCCTCCCGTTCTGCTCCTGTGCCCGCGGCGGGGCGGCAGGCGCAGCCCGCGCCTGGCTCGGGGCGGGGGGGACGCGCAGGGACCGCGCTGCCACCGTGGCACCGGCGGCGCGCGCGGGTTGCGCGTCCCGGCGTCCCCCGCGGGCGCGGCCGGCGCCGCTTTCCGCTGTCTGAGGGCTCCACCTGCAGCCGGGCCTGAGCGGAGCCCGGCTCGGACGGGGCAGGGAAGGAGGGAGGCGCCCGGCTGGGTAGGGCACGGCTGCGGGAACCCCGGTCGCCTTTGCTTAAAGGTGCCATCCTTGGGCTGGCGGCCGAGCGCCGTGCGGGGGTGCCATTGGAGCCCCGGGGTCACGCGTTAAATAACTCGCTCTGAAAGAAGAGCAGAGGTAATAGAGGTGCCGGCGTGTGCCTGTTCCAGATACAGCTGGTGTTCCCTTCCATTATTTATCCAGGAAACAGCGGGCCCGTACTCCTGCAGCTTTTCTTTCCAAGCCACAGCTCCAGGCAGCCTGTGTGGCGTTTCGTGTTAAATGTGTTAAAGCAGACTGCGTTACTGCGTCACAGGTAGGCCCTGTGCCCCACCTGAATGCCTGCTTAATGCACAAGGGGCTTTCTCTGCTCCGAGAACTCGCCATGGAAAGCAGACGCGTGGGTTGGTTCCAGGCACTTGTGAACGCTTTGTTAGGGAAAAGGTCAGACCGTCTGTTTGTTCAGACTCTGTCACAGAAGAACAAAAATTATCATGCCACTGTATGAGTTGGTGGTGGCCTGGTACACTTAGTACCTTGCGCTGTTCTGATTATCACTGATCCAGAAGGGTTTAATAGACCTCTGTGAGGCCAAGGATAAGGTCTAAGGACTCAGGCACTCTTTAGTGAGGTATTGAATATCTTCCATATGTGTAGGAGTAACTGAATAGACCTGAAAGAGGATACAGATGGAGAGTGAAACAGTAAGGGGAAGGTATGAGGAGAAACACATAGAATTATCTAATCAGAAAACAAATTAAGAACAAAAGGAAGTACTTTCTCACAAATAATAAAACTTGTTGCCTCAGGATGAAGACAGTATAATTGGGTTCAAAAAGGATTTATTCAAATGTATGGAAAAAAGATTCATTATCATTGCTTGGATTCTGCCTCTGTCTCCTCAGGAAATCCCAAAACAGCTGACTGGTTTCTAGAGCTTGCAGAATGAAAGACAATTCTACAGAAGTACTTTATTTGTGTACTCCATTCTAAACATCAAAACTAGCTACTTCAGAATAATTTCATATTTCAAAAAGCTTTTTTTCTTCCTTCAAAATCAGAAACAAAAAACCCTAGGCTAGTGGTAAAGCACAGCCTTACTTTGTTAAACCAGTGTAGATGCTATAGTTTCAAATTGTACTCGGCAACATCTGCACTGGTGGTGTCCAACACAGATACTTTGGATGGAGTGAGACCTTGAGGCTAAGTGACTTCAGCACATGAATAGTGGTTGCAAGAACAATATAATTACAGCCAGTACATCAGCTTTGAAGAAGCAGCTGAAGGATACATTCTAGACCTTTAGGTACATAAATCACATAATTCATCAATTGAATAGGAGTTACCGTAACTCTAGTATTGGAATGAGGGATTGTGCGCATACTTTTATTTTTTTTACCAGTTCAGAAATACTTAAGAATTAACTTCCATTTGTAGAAGTGGTGTCTAATTTAGTTCAGCTGTTTATTTTGAATAATAAAGGATATGAATGAATGAATAAAAACCAAATCACTAATTCTATAACTCGCTATTACAGACTGCTACAAACAGGTAAAGGCTGTGATGTTGACAAGAACAGCAGTTAATGTCTTCCTGTACTGGACATGAAGTTGATTGTTTATTTGCAATTTGTGAATTATTTTGAAGATGGGCAAGGTCTGTGCTGTTTTTGGAGGATCCCGTGGGATAGGCAAAGCTGTGGCAGAGCTCCTGGCACAGAAGGGCTGCCGCCTGGCCATCATTGCTAGGAATCTGGACATGGCCCAGACCACTGCCCGTAAACTTGGTGGTACGTATGCTGTTGTGCAGTTACCACCTCGCTGTCCGTGCTTAGGTGACTTGGGAAAATAGTGAGTCATTAAAAACCCCTTGGTGTTTAACAAGATGAAAGGAAAATAAAGGCTGAGAAATATTAAAAATGAGCTATATTGGTACAATTTTGTTTTCACAATAGTGGTTGAGAAAGTAGGTTTCCTATTATATCTGCATGATGGGAATTTTAAGATGAATGGAATTGTTTGGGATCACAATAGAGGTGGTGTGAATTGAATCACCCTCAGCTCCTGAACCAGTCAGAACTGAGACCAGTCTCAGTTCACACTGAACTTCTCATTTCAAAAGGCAAAAAATCTAAAACAAGGAATTGTCACATAACTAATGAATACAATACTTGAAAATCATCTTTATTTAATTGTCTGGAGATTAAATAGGTTCCTTAAATTATAACTAGTTCAACATCTGTTTTGCAACTGAGTTGATACATTCTGAAGAAGGTTTATGAATTAAATACACCTTTTACTGTTTATTTTGACATTATATATATTTCAATACAGCAGGACATCTGGCATTTCGCTGTGATGTATCCAGTGAACAAGAAGTCCAAAAGACTTTTGAGGAGATGCAGAGGAATTTGGGTCCTATTAACTACATGGTTAATGCAGCTGGGATCAACAGGTTGGTTACTCCTTACACGACTATAAGTAATTCTAGATGAAGGCAGCTCAACTGTAAGGTGCTCTGGCCCTTTATGCTTAGTAAGTGTTATTAATGAGCACATCTGAAAACAATATTAAGTGTTTGCCAATATTTTGCTCCTGATGGTAGTAAAATGCTAACAGATGATACAGCTTTTCCTGTAGTTTCTGCATTCTGAGTTCCCCCTCTATTCTTTCTTCCACTTTTCCCTCCAGAATGGTTCAAAACAGTGCTTGATACCACTCTGCAAAAGAGACTTTGTGGCCAGAAGCACGGCTAACTTTTTTTTTTGGTATGTGTAGTTCTTGCAGTGTTGTCATTTTGAATGCTCGAATGTATGGAACCACATACGCCCCTATTAATATTCTGTGCAACAGTCTTTTTTTATGAGTAAACATAATCAGGGGGTTGTTCAGTGAATTCTTTGGGTTTTTTTGGTTGTTTATCAGGGATGGCTTGTTACTGAGGACCAAGACTGAAGATATGATAGCCCAGATTCACACTAACCTGTTGGGAACAATGTTGACATGCAAAGCTGCTGTAAAGGTCATGATTAAACAGCAGGGAGGTGCTATTGTCAATATAGGTAAGTTGCTTGTGTAAGCCAGTGGAATTCAGTGTACTAGTCTAGAAATGTTTAGCAGGTGTAACATATCACATTACTTGTTACAATTTACTTATTTTCTTTATATTTAGACATTCTGTATTTAGAATTCCTTTATGAATGCTTATTCTTCTGTGTAAATTCAGCAACTTCTAGATAGCTTTTTAATAAACACCTCAGAGTTGATATTTTATTGAAAAAAGAGCTTTGCTATTCTTAACCAATTCTTTCAATATCTAGATCTACCAGCTGCTGGCTATTAACTAAGGATTGATAGGTACAGTTAGTTTCTTCCTTTCTTTATTTAATCTGGGCTAGGATACCTTTTTTTAGAAAAGCCTTCATTTTACTCTTCTGGTGCCTGTTGGTCAACATAGATACATGGATTGCAGAAAAATCACAGCTAATTGGGAGATTTGCTTAACCTAGCAGGCTAAAGTGCATAAAGTTACGCATATTTTACTCTTTCCTTGTGATCTCATTTTTCATTCCAAGTTTAAAAGTAAAATGATAAAGCTAGTACAAAGTTTCAAGTTACCCATTTAATCTTCTCTTTGATGTTTCTTTATTTTAGGGAGTATTGTAGGACTTAAAGGCAACTCTGGTCAAAGTGTGTATAGTGCTACCAAAGCTGGAGTGGTTGGATTTTCACGCTCTCTTGCTAAAGAAGTAGCAAAAAAGCAAATTCGAGTCAATGTTGTTGCTCCAGGTTAGTTTGAAGGAATTCCTGCATCCTTTACTGTTGCAATTCATTAAGACTGTGGATATTCCTTGTACTCTGAAAGTAACTTAAGACAAATTTATTTTCCTCAGCTTTGTAAGTAAATATTTTTAATATCTTTTGTTCGTGTAAAGTATAATACATTCTTTCATAATATCTTCAGTCTTTTTAAAGGAACACTGAGGAATTTTGAAGAGTGAATCTGCCTTTTCCTCTATCTATTATGACATAATAAATGTCTTTTTTTTTCCCTTTGTTCCTTCTTCAAAACTTGCTGTCGTTGCAGATGGAAGGATTAGATCTAAATAGAGACAGAGATCTACCCTTGTCACCAGCTAGAGAGTGCTTATTTTTTATTAGGGAACCATGGCAGAGCATGAGAAAGCTGTCATAAAAGCACCCCTGTCTCCCTGTAGTAAAAGGAATGAGTCCTGAAAGTTATTTCTGTGAGTAAAGGCTGTTATTTCATAAGATGGTCTAGTTCAAGCGAACTGCCACCCTTAAGGACAAATCCCTTCTGCATTTTCTGCATTTTTCCACTCATAACTGTGTACACTGCTGTTCACCTTCTGCTGTCTCTGGTGCCTTTCAGAATTCTACATGACCCTGTTCAGCTTGTGAACTAGGCAGGAAAAATACTTTTATTCTTTAGTGAGTTGAGCAGCTCATCCACAACCATCATAAAGGGACAGAGTTTTACCATAGAAAGTAAAAGGGAGACTTTCCCTTCTTGATGGCAGCTAGAAAGCAGGTAAGATCAGCTCTTTATAAAGCTGCAGCTTATGTGTAGAGTTGTGCAGCAGTGAAAAAGCCAACTCTCAGATAATGGAAAATTGTAAAAAGGTCCTTCAAAAATGTCAGGAAATGTTCTTCAAATGAGTCCTCTAATAGAAGCTATGCAAGCACTGCCCTAAGTTCTGAAATGTAATGCAAACATTTTAAAGTCTGAGAGGGTTTCTTGTCAGACATTTTGCTTGTATTTTTATTGAGAACATTTTGGTGAAATGAGTATATTTTGTCTTTCAGAAAAATGATACTAAATACAGTTTATGGACTGAATTTTAGTTACCCTTTGTTTGTTTGTTTGTTTTTAATGGACTTCTATAGATCTTTACATTTTGATTGTTGCATCACTGCTTCCAAAACTGAAAGGTATTTTATTGGTTAGATAAAAAAGTGGTCTTGGCCATCAAATGATGTGGGCTGCTTTGTGAGATTTTGAAGAATGGTGGCTGGTGCTGAATCCTGGTAATAGATTTCACTTTGTAAAATTCAGTGGGAAATCCACTAGATAAATTTAGTCAAAGGTCAGGTAACTCTTCATATATCTCTCTGCTCTTAGGCTTTATTCACACAGAGATGACAGCTCATTTGGAAGAAGATCAGTTGAAGAAAGCAGTTCTCCTTGGAAGATTTGGAGAGCCTCATGAAGTTGCACAAGCTGTTGTCTTTCTTCTAGAATCCCCATATGTTACAGGGAGTGTTCTGGTTGTAGATGGAGGCTTGCAGCTTATGACCTAAGTAATACCTTGAAGAAATGACTGCTTTAATGTCATGATGGTAATATATAAATACGTACTAAATAAAGGGAGAGGGTTGGAAATCGTTTGAAGATTGATGTACATAATTGACTTGGTCTTATTTAGTCAGAGGAGAAATTCGGCAGCAGCGAAGTGCAACGTGTGTGTTCAGCTGCCTGAAAGAGTCTGTTTGGTATTACAAAGCCTGTGTATGAAACAATTTGAAAAAGATCTGGTTTTGATACGGTGATAGCTTTAATAATGTGCTGATACGTTTTTAAAGCACTGTATTTTTATAAAGTCCTGTTTTCTAATTTGGGATAAAATGAGATTTTATTTGAATTATCATGTTACACAAAGGTTAATAAAGTGCAGAGACATGTTTATTGGGTGGCAGGTATGATTGTATCAAGTTTTTCAAGCAGGGCAAAGATTGTGAACTGCATAGTTTTGCATTCTTATCAGTTAGTCCCTACAAAGTAGCAAGGAGTTTCCTTTGAGCTTTGTTTGTTTGTACCTAACACTACAAAGCTAGGAACTTCTGGATCTTCAGCATACCTGAATTACCTTTAGAAGATTTAATTATATGCAATGTGTTTTTATAAAGACAAAGCCTACTCAGGTCCATTCCTGAATGTAGGTACAGCACTCTCTCAATCCAGTGGCTCTTGAGTGTGCCATTGACTGCTACAGGACTGGAGCTGCTAATCCTCTCGTATTCTCAGCCTGAGCTGCACACACACTGCTGAACACTGCAGCTGCAGACCTTGCTGTTTAAGACACTTTGCAAGGACTCAGTAGATGTTTAGAATATGTACCACTTCCAGAGTATGAAGTATGAAGGTGTTGTATGTTGTGCTCTGTATCTTCATGAACACTGTTCAGCTGTTGATGCTCCCTCATATGTATGTATAGTCAATAAAATAGCCATTTATTTTATTCAAAGCAACTTTTGAAGCAGAGTAATTATTCTGCTGTAAATGATTCTGAGTGTTCCTGTTTTGCTGAAAACTTACCAAATGTTTGACCTCAGGCTTTTCTATTGAGCTCAAGTAACTTTTGATAATAGATGTTTTTTACTATCTCTGAAGAAAACTATGAATGTGTTTTAGGACCTTCACTTCTTAGTTCTGGTGTTCATTGCATCATGATCCAGATGTTAATTCAGCTTTTGAAATTACTTCAGTACAGAGAGATCTCCCTGATGATAACTGAGTCTTTAAAGCTGGAGATTTTATTCATTTGTGCAGCTGAGAAATTTTGTGTTTGTGCCAGAAAACAGTGCATGTTCAAACTTCTTGCAGGTATGTATTGAGAAATAATGCAAGGACTACTTGTATGATCAGGAGATTTTACAATTGGTTGTATAATTCACTTTGGAATACAGAATACTCCTCAAAGTAACCTTCCAGGAATCCTTAACTTCCTGTTATCGCTGTTATGTATATGTGTCTTTGCACCAAAAATATTGCTAGTTACATTTTTCCTTGATAGAAGGAGTTGGCCAGAAATTATGAGAATTTTTTTCAAGGTCACTGAAAGTGAGGAAGGACAACTGGTGCATTTTCACTAGTCAAGTAGGAATATGTCAGTGACTTGGCTGTTGCCCATACCTGTCCTTGGTATCATACAAACAGACCCTGTGTGATATATCTTGACCAAAAGCCAAACTTAAGAAACTAGAAATAATTCTCTTCTAGTGAGTTCTGACCCTAATTATTATTATTATTACTATTACTATTACTATTACTATTACAATTACTATTATTATTATTATTATTATTATTATTATTATTATTATTATTATTATTATTATTATTATTTTGGTGAGTTGTTAAATAAGTTATTAGCAATGGAATTTTTAGTTTAGTTTTGCAATTAAAATCTGGAATAATGCTGTCAGAAGAATCTCAGCATGCCACAGAGTAATTGCTTTAGAAAGTTTCAGTACATACTATGTTTTTATTATTGCTGTTGCTATAGGGCCAGACTGAAGTGTTGGTAGCTTTAAATCATACTTTTAAAAAGTTTTTTTGACTCTTTTCTTCAAACTGGTAAATTAGAACTGAAAACTGGTGAACATAATCCTGTCTGTCCTGGTGTGATGTCTCGGACAGGGGAGCAGGGGATGTCCAGGGTAGGTAACAGATCAGGTGTGTGTCTTCTTAGAAGACTCTGGTACCTCCAGCGGTTTGTGACTGGGATGCTTGAACCCAATGAGTAGCTCTGGTTGAGACAGGCAGGGATTAAAAACAGCCCTCTGGTGCTCTCTCTGTTTTGCTTTTGAATTTGTAGACTTCTGTCTTATCCTGTTTCTGTTTTGTACTGAAGAGTCATACATTCCTTGCATCCATACAGTTGCTTATTGCTTTTGTATCTTGAATTGTCTTAGTTGAACTTCGTTTTACTTTTACAGTTTCTCAACGAAGGAGCAACAGGTAGAACTACTTGCAGAATTCACTGTGGACCTATTAAAAAAAATTAAATTGTTCTATGTTTTGTTTTACATTGTTTCCAAAAATTACGCGTGTTTTGCTTTTTCCTAACCTTTGCAGTTATATTTTCAAAACAATAACCCAGTCCCAAATAATTAATGGTCAACTTGGAGTCCGTTTCAATATATATGTACAAAAGTCTAAATGTTTGTATTTTTTTCAGCATGAATTGTTCTCAGATATCTACAATGAGATTAGTTTGCTGGTTTTAACACATTTTTTTAAGTGAAATAGTTGTGCAATTTTTTAATTCCTTAATCCCTTTGTTACTTTGAGTAACTTAGTGTTGTTGTAATATACTGTGGCATTCAGAAACTGCTGTTTCAAAACCCTTAGAAATAGGTTGTACCTTGCCTGCCCCAACAGAGAAATTGTGGTGTTCTGTTGGTACTGCACATCCTTAGGAAAGAACAACTGCTGATTCATGCCCTTTGTCTTCTGTCTTTAAAGGGTTTACTGATATGACAACTTCTTTTGGTAGCACAGCATCGTTAATGGTTTCTGGCAAGGGAATGTGTCAGATGCCTTTTACAATTTCAAGCATGCACCATTATTACTTCTCCGTACTCTCATCTCTTTTAAGTTCTTTAGAAGAACTCTAAAATGTTTATGAAACATGATTTTCCTTTGCAAAAGCAACTGTGTATGTTTATCCTGTTGCTTTCTTGGCTTTAGAACAATTCCTGGCACTTTGCTATGTACAGAAAAATATTATTAGTCTTTAGTTCCCTGGATCCCTCTGGAATCTCTTCTTAAAAAACAAATGATTGTTCCACCCACTGAAATCACAAAAACTTGCTGTCACTTTTGCCAGCTTCCAGTCACTTGATAATGAGGCAGGTTTCACTCAGAAGTTTCGAACTGCATTTAGTTGGTTTCTTTTAGAATTGAGGAATGATAGCCCCCCTCTTCCTCCATTTGTCCCTCTTTCTTCTGTAATCTTTCCTGATGTTGTGCTCTGATGAGTAAAACCTTGAACAAATTGCCTGTAAAGGTTCTCCTCAAGTTCCTGCATGGTACCAGAAACTGATCATAGGGATTTGTTCAGAGTATGGGGATTTTTTTACTCCTCAGTGGTCTTTCCTTCCCTGAGCATTTTGCTTTTTACTTTGACCATCTGCTTGCCTTCTTCAGGCACGGTTCCTGTTCCTGAGGTGCTGGTCCCTGTCAGTGCCCTTTTGCAGATTATTCCTCTGCACTCTGATCTGGCTCTAAATGTTACATTCAGTGACTGCTTGCATTTGACTCCTAAAGCTAGACTGTTGGTTTTACAAAGGTTGATGTTTAAATGCTAGGAGCTTCCCCCTCCCCACAAAAATAAGTTAAATTTGATGTGTGTATTTGAAGTCATTGTACTGAAGTTCAGTACATTCAATCTTAATGTTGTCATTGGGCACTGTATCTTAATTTTGACTTGTCTTTTTGGCTTCATTTTAATAATTTTCTGATTCTATGTTGCTTCTTTTTATGTAAGTCTGTGGTAATGGACTTCTGTCTTTATTAATAAACTTGGTCAATAGACTGGCATTAAAAAATTCAACTATTTAAACCATTAAAAAAACCAATATTTGAAAATAGCATTTTTGCTCAGGCCTTGTACAGTCGGGGTGACCACAGCCAGAGTTGGGTGGCCCTGATTAGCTGCATGAAAAAGAATATATTAAAAGAGTGATCTCAGCCTCTTGAGTGTGACATTTATTCAACGTACTCATGATTTCTCTCTGTCATCACAGTTACATTGCTGGCCTTACACGTCTCAGATGTCATAGCTATGGTCACCTTCTTAATGATGTGGGTACCAATGCTGTCTAATAACAGAGTTTACGTAGCTAGGTTTGGAAATTCAATCAGTATTGGATTGGATTATTTAATACGTTGATATTTATTTTTATGACTCTTCTACATATTTTGTATCAATATTTTACATTGTTTAATCTTACTTCCATCATATTTCTAGTCTGTCTGTTTTGTCACTGTCCTTGATTAAAAGCAGATATTTGGGCTTCATGTCTTGTGCTGCTGGTATTTATGCCAAGCTGTATATAAATGTTTGAGTTTTTTTTGCATGTGGGTGTTTGCAAGTCAGACTGCACTTGACATCCACAAATGACTTACAATAATTTCTCAATTGAATTTTGAAAACTTCAGTCCACTATCTTATTAGACATACATAATTTCTGTGTTTCCATTCCTAATGGAAGTGAGAGAATGTGCTCTTATCCGTCTGGTATTTCTTCACTCATATTGCTTGAAACTCTCCTATAATCTCTTAAATAGCAACATCTTTTCGCTTGTTCTTTCTCTTTAAGAATAGAGTATTTTATGGATTCTCACTACTCCATGTTTCTGTAGTTTCTAAAGAATCTGTAGTCCTCTTTCTAGAACTGTTTTTTCAGGCATGCATTGAAACTTTGCCTCATCCACCTAGTTTTGGGAGCATTTAAAGAAGGCTGCAGTGCAACTGGTCTTTAACTTACTCTGTGTTTTATTCCAGATCTTTTCACTTGCCTCACCCCATGTCACTGATTTCTACATGGCCTTTCACTACCACCACAGAATTTCTAAGGAGACTATCAAGGCATGTTTTGAGGGTGGCTGCTTTTGCAGCTGTCATTTAATTCAGCATGCAGTCTTTTTATACAGCAACCCTCTTTCTGACTCACCCATAATTATTGCTTTGAGTTTTTACTCAGCTGGTTTCCTGCTTCAGAGAGGATATCGTTGCTAAAAGAAGGTTGTGTACTGCAGTTTTTACTCATCACTGTGACCTGCCTTGTCACTGCCAAGTTAGGAAATGTAAAATTGTTCTGTTGGTTTGATTCAGTTCAAAGTTCATAGGTAGTGTGATTTGCATGTTCTGGGGTTTAGTTGAAGCACATTATAGACCAAGGAAGTTAATTGTTTTGTATGTCTTCTCTGCATTGTTTTGGGAAGATGATGGATTACTGTTGTTCATCTTTTGCCCTAGGTAGGTCATTGGAGCCTTACTTCTGCTGTTCTCTAAAGAAGTACGTTTGTAACTTAGAATTTGCTGTCATGAACTCACTGTCTTAACACAGTCTTCTCTTGCACTTGAGGCATTTATTGCAATTGGTGGGCTGGAGGGGGCTCTGAGCAACCTGGTCTAGTGGGAGGTGTCCCTGCCCATGGCAGATGGCTTGAAACTAGATAATCTTCAGGGTTCCTTCCAACACAAGCCATCTGTCGTTCTGAGATTATTGTCAGTAGAAGTTTGTAGCAGGACACATAAAATGTTCATGAGGTGGTTTTGGTTTGGGATTTTTTTAACATATTGCAGCTGTGTGGAGGAGCTCTGGTGGGGAAGAGTTTTTGTAGACTGTGGTAACAGATGTATATAATGTTGGCTGAGTTGGTGCATGCTGAGTTAGGGTTGTATCCCATGAAGAGGTTTCACTGTGGCCTCCTGAGGGCAGTGTATCCTAAGGCATTACTGTATTGGTAGTGACTTGGTGAGTAAACCTTTATTGTTTTAGGGAAGTGGAGTTGCCTGTGTAAATGCAAAGCTGGTGTCTGGCATCCCTGTTACTGGTTTTGTAAATCCAGTTCCATATATCCTGATCTGCTGGGGGTTGTAAGGCATGACTTCTAAAGATGGAAAGGATTTCCTACTGAGATCAGTGAAATCTAAATCCCAGCCTGCAAAATCTGTTTCATTGCTCTAAGACAAATTTTCCTACTTTTATGTGTTGCACACTATGAGGCTGTATTGCATGACTCTGAAATGTATATTGCCTGTTGCAATTATGTGACTTTTTTTTCTGGAAGAACAGTGTAGTTCATTTAAGTAAAGCAAATGAAAAAGGACCTCTTCAAGGCCAGGTGCACCCACTTCATTCAGTTAATCAGTGTTTGAAAAGACAGGTCAAGTGTAGTTGTGGAGAGAAGTCATTGGGTGTGCTTAGTACCTGAAGAAGAACTCTGCTAAGTCCCAAGTTATATTTTATTTTCATGCATGCATTGTGTTCAATTTCAGATCATATGCTAAAGGCTCCTTTGCTGTAGATACATCTGTTAATAAAAAATGCTACCTGTACCTTGCCAGATATCTTTGGATCAGCATGACTATAAGCACAACTATTCTGATATTTTTATGTTTTTATTTTTTATGTTAACAGCTCATATCTGTTAAGGTCTGGGATATATTTTGTTCATTGTATGTAACAAAATTGCTATTTTGAGTATGTCAGTATCAAATGCCATGAGACAACACCCAAGTAAAAGCCACCAGAGCTTACTTGGTATCATTACACGCACATTAGGGCAGTGTCAGTGGGAGCGTGGGGAGCAGATGTCACTGAACAGATGGAGTTGTGTGGATGTTCCTCAACATTTCCCAGGCTGCTGGCTGATGGTACTGAGGTGCCCCTACACGTGTAGTGTGCTGATGGGTTTGGAATTGCTGTATGATTTTGAACAGTTTGTTTAAGAATAACTGCAAATTGATTATATGGTATTGTTGAAGCTTTTTAGTAAGCAGTTTGATATTTTGTGAATTCTAACTTGCAAATCTCCCAGCTGGGTATTTCTAATGCTGAATGCATTAAACTACATGTTCCAGCTCTGTGCTGGAGGCTGTACTATCAACACCTGGATGCCAAAGACCTGTTAAAAGCTCTCAGTTGCAGTGTTTTAATTCTGCTCCTCTCAATATGACTTTTTATCCTACTTTTTCAGATAGTTGGCAAATTTCTACTGAAAACTTCCCACAACTTCAGAGAAAGAAGGAGTATAGTAATTTCTCTTGTTTTGTTTCAGTGTCATTTAGTGTGCATGTATCATTCTGGATGGTGAGATGTCCCTGCCAGCAGCAGACTGGAACCACATCTATTCTCTGCAGGCTTTTGTAGCTCTGTTGTTGAAATGCATATATAGAACAGAGAGCAGCTGTAATTTTATGGATCACCATAATTTTCAGGACACCAACATGAAGATATCCTTAATTTGTAATAGATTACAGGTACATTGCCTGTTGTATAGGAAGTCTTACCTGATTTTTAGCACCTTTTGCAGTAGCTCAGAAAGGTCCTGTTTGGCAGTCTGGATTTTGTACCCTCAGTTGTCTACAAATACTCTGTGATGTCTGGGCCAAGAATTGTCCAAAAAAAGCTTGACAATATGTTTCCCTGAAGCTGTTGTTAAACACACAGGAGAAAAGACCTACCATAATCCATTTGGTGTGAAGGGAGTTGTAGAGCTCCTTCTGTAAATGTTGTAATCATTCTGTGCAATTGCCATGTACTGTTATTTTTTTTTCTGCTTTCTTGTTCTTGTTTCTGTTTCTGGACCATTTATGCTACTACAGAACTAAAAAGTGATAGCAGTTACAAGACTTGGCCAATCCCCAGGGTAACCTGTTAAACTGCAGTTGTTCTGTAAAGCACAAAATGTCTCCTTCTAGATGGTGTTGAACTGGAGTTCATCTCCATCTGTATGGCTGCTGAAATCACTGCTGTACAGGTACTGCTGCTCGTTGTCTGGCTTTTTTGCTCTAGACACAACTGAGCATTATGTTCCAAACACATTTTTAGTAGAGATGCAGTGCAGTATTAGATATTTTTATACTTTATTCATTTCTGTTAGGGAATGCAAAGTGGCTTAATTTTGAGATAGAGTTGCAAGCTGTAACACAAGTCAAAGAATACTGTGTGCTGTTTGGAATACACTGTAAATTCCTTGGGGCAGGAGCTGTGTTTCCATCTGCCTGATGTGTTTTATGTGCTTGTATTTCTGTTCAAACAGAAAATCTGTGCAGAGGAAAGGCTGTTTCTTTTAGTTCAGGAGAATGAAATTAATGTCAGTAAATTCTATTCCTTGCATCTACATTTGAATGGTGAGGGAGTGAATTAGCCAATATGCATAATCCAAGCAGGCATTTCTAGTCCATGCATGAATTTATCTATAGTGCACAGTGTGAGTTTGGCAGCTGGATCATGCAGTCAGAGCATGCAGCTCATTCCCTCAGCATCATGGTGTGTTGGATAATGTGAGCTCATGAAGTACTTACATGTGAAATCTGTTTGGGCTACTTGCAGAGGTGAGGATGTAGTGGTCCAGGTGTGGGGGATCAAGGCATCTCTTGGAATACACCCTAAGTGATTTAAAATAGACTTTGAAATCGGTGCTGCAGAAAGAAACAATGATTTATAAGCTGGGGTTTCAAGTTGGACTGGTTTTGATCCCCAGCTGCCAGTTATCTGTGATGCAAGCAAATTGTGAATGTTAACTAATTGTTGCTATTGCCTTAAAGCTGTAGGATAAAGGCACTGTGTGCTAAGCTGTAAGCTATTCCACCAGCTGGAACAACCTTCATGCATGTGGAATTTTGCACCTCACTGTTGGTATTCCTGAAAGGTTTCTGTCGTCATCCTGATCGTTGTTGCATTGAATCTTTAATTGCTGTGAATATGCTTGGACTGATAGCTTCCTAAGTAATTTAAAGTCTTCCCATACCTGAGCTGGAAGTCTTGCAAAAAGTCCTATTTTTAGTCTTAAAAAAATGACAAAAAGTACACTCTCATCTTACTATCTGTCTTTGGACGATGTGGAAGAAGATTAAACTTCTGAAAGTTACTTTGATGCTTCCAAGAATTTTTGCTTTTTGGCTTGAGAAGTTAATTTGCTTGTGCCACGCTTCTATCTCTGACTTTGTAAGCCCAAACAGTCCCAGTAACTAAGTAACAGCACAGCTGAATGTTTTCATAAAAACAGTGTTGCTGCTTAGAGATGTGATTTACTACTTAAGTGTGTCTGTACATATATACAGAGGCAAAAAGTGATGATGACCTCATCTTCAGCAAGCTCAAAAAGCAGTCTGCTTTTTAGTCCCCAAGCCAAAGCCAAATGTACTGTGAACAGACACAACTGCAGTGACTTCAGTTGCAGTACTGCCATTAATGTCAGTGCTCACTTAATTGCTGACATAAGCCTGTTTGCAGTGATCAGTGCTTGAAGTGTAAACCCAAAAGAAAAAATGGATAATCTTACATCTTTCCCGGTATCTTCACACTGATAAGAAGAAACTAGTTAATAGTCAGGATTTTGTAAGTAATTTTTTAAAAAAAAATTTTATATTGTCTTACTATCAGGTTCTTAAATAAATTTAACAATGCTCAGACCATGCCTTTTACTTAAAATCAGTTGTAAAGTGATGATGTATTGCAATTATTTGAAATACAAAACAAGACCTGCCTATTTTCTAACCTATTTTAAAAAAAATATCTTCCAGTTCTTCTATTTGGCAAAAGTTTCTCAGAATTTATGAGTAATGTTCCTCTGTTCTGTTCAAATAAGAATTCCAGGTCACAGGCACATTATTCTGATAAATTCTAGTAGTTTTTAGATGCTGCTTATAGGCTTCATTTAATCTGTATTAATAATATCTAAAATTTCTAAATCTTACACTTCAATGCTTGTACCAAAACAGTTATTAATCTTTACCAGAAGGAAAACTTTCTATTTGTGTAATATTTATTGATGTTAAACCCACATTATATCAGCACAACAGTCCAACGTAATGATAATACATTTTTATAAATACAAATAAAAGGTGGCAAAATAATGCTAGTGAAGCTAAATAAAAACGTAAATTAGCATGTCACAGTTGAGGAAAATTTGGCAAAAGATATGACATACTTCTATAATAAAATCAGATTATTCCCACCTGACAGACTATGATGTTAATCTAGATTAACCATCCCCATCACTAGTCATATCCTGCACCAGAATAGTACTACCTTGTGTGCTAAAGTTTTATTAGTCACTAAAAAACAAAACAAACTTTGTGTACTTACAAAGCAATACACGTATAGCAGTAATGCAATATATGGTGTACACAATTACAAAATTTTTTAAAAAAAAAACAACAAACAAACCCCTAAGTACAGGACTTCTGAATAAATGAACTGAGATAAAAGATTTCAACACTTTTATTATAAATAATGAAAGATACCATATATGTGCTTCATATAAGGAATACAGTGCTTTCCTTTCCTAGCAAAGTATCGTAGCTCGTACCATCAAACACTCATTTTCCTTGTCAGGCCTAGTAATTCTTCCAGTCATTCTCCTTCCCTCCCCTTCAACTGTAATTCATTTGGTTCTAATTTAAAACTACCTAGTCAGGTGTGACTTAAGCAGGGCTCCACTTCCAAGTGGATTTGCCTTGCATTCTGTAAGCAGCCTTCAAGCTTTTCACCTATGGTGCACAGACTTCACCCCTCTTTTAAAAAAGAGTTGACATTTGCCTGTGGTCAGGAGAAGGAAAAAATAAAATCAACCAGAGACATGTTGAGAAGAAAAAACAAAAAGCAAGTTGAATTTTTTTGCCTGTTTTCATTTTCTTCTTCCTCAGATTTGCAAACCTATCACCTGTGGTGTATACTTGTTGCTTAAATCCATATTGCAGTTTCAACCCATTTTTCACTTACTATACATTTCTAAAATCCTCATCATATTATACAAGCTTTGAACAGTCAAACATCCCATACAAACACTCCCTATTTTTCAGCTCCCCTTAGAATTTCAGAATCTTTAACGGGAGTATTACAAGGTTACACACTGCTGTCCAGAAATCCAGAGAGTTTCATCCTCTTGCCCAGTCCCCCTCCCACCCCTTGCAGTAGCTCACTGCAGTGGTTTATACTATCAGCATTTCTTCCCATCTAGTTACCATTGTGTAATCTGGAATAGATTGTTACTATGTGTCAACTCTTTGTTATCCTGCAGAAGTAAAATTACTTCTGCTTAGACTCCACTGCTACATGTTTGTAAATAAGCCTCCTCCAAGATGGCAAAAAGGAAAAACACAAATTAATTGCAAGTTAGGGTGTTGATGTCCATATAAACAGCATTGACAGAAAGTTGTTTTTTTTTTTTCATTGTTGAATAGAAAGCAGTTTGCAGAGATACAGCATTTGCTTACATTTCTTTTCCTTGTCCCTTCCTGTTTATTCTTAAAATATTGCACTTGTTCATTGTAGCTGTCAGAATGTGTAGCCGTTTTAGAACTGTTGATAACCCTTGAAGAAAACATCTTGCACCATTAAGATTGTGTAGCATCCACCTACTGCTTACAAAGGTATGTAGTGAAGAATCTGATGCATTTTGGCTTCTATGAAAAGGAATATGAAGCAACATAGGTAAAGGAACTGGTGAGTGTGATTTGTTGTGCAATGTGTACATTTCTATTAATAATCTATCTATTCTTCTAATTTGGTATAATGAATAAGGAATATATGGTTACTGTGTTTGTTGTTTATCTTTTGTACATGAAGGTGTCTGCCCTTGCATAAAGTGACATAGGAGTATCATTGGTCAAGGCAATGGCTTTCAGTGTTTCTGCTTTGAGAGAAAATGGTGGAAGCAGCAGTTGAATCTACAGATCATCACTCTCTACCAGGCCAGGCTGCATTGCCAGGTGGACTGGGTTTGCTTCCGGCTGGAAAGCTGCTTTGATGTCTAGTCCTTGGTCACAGAGAGCAGCGTATCGGCTGGCTGAGGGCCGCACCTTCTTTGGCTTGGTCTGCTGAGGGGGTTGTTGCCACTGAGCTACAGATTAAAAAGGAAAGAAAAAGTGTTAACCTTCCTGAGCTGTGCATCTAAGTGTGCCAGATGCTCAGTCAGCCCTCTGTGAAGGAGATAGTAATTTCTGAGAAGCAGAAAACCATTATATCAAAGGTAAATTTGTTTAATTTCTTGGCATTGTTTTTTGTGTTTTTTCTCAGCATCTAGTTTCACCTTCAAATGTGGTAAGTAAATACAAGAATCTGTGTTACTTTTTGGCATTGTTTTCTAGATTTCTTTGTGCCACTGAGTAGGGTGACAGCAAAGGAGGCTGTTTCTGTGCACACCTATTACAGTAACAGGTCTGTTCTAGGGTTAGTTGTTGCATATATGTTGCCATTGCCACCCCTTGTATGCTGAAGAATGATGAGCCAAATCTCTTACAATTCCCACTTCCAGCACCACGCCAGAATCCATCCTTTATCAGTCTCCCCTTCCCCCCCCGCCTTAATTCTTGCTATGGGAAGACTGGTAAGAGACATTTCTTTAAGGAAACATTCACTATGGGTGGGGCTGCTTTGGAACAAACTGAGTAATTAAGCAGAAAGCCATAAAAACATCTACTACTCTTTTGGTAGCTGTCACAGGTGTATTACAGACTAATGTACAAAAGAAAACTAAAGGTTAAGGAAGTGCCAGCAAAACAATCATAATAATGATCCACAAAAATCATATGATCATGCTGTTATCTCTTGTTAATTAGTTATATTTAATGTACTAAGCAAAAACAGAAAGCATGCAAGCTTGTTTTGCTTTAGGTGTCTGAAAGATAGTGAAATATACTTTGACAGAGCATTTGTTGTCTTGAAGTAGATGTTTACTATTGAGGAGAAACTATAAACAAAAGAAAGAGAGACCAATGTAAACCATTCTGTGAACAGCCCAAAACTTACAGAGCTATTGCTTTTAGGGGGATTAATATGATCATGAAAATTGAAGCTACTTACTATAAACATCCAACCTGGCAGTGCAAGACACAATCCCAGCCTCATTCTTAGCTGAAACAGTGTACCAGCCAGCATCCTCCTTTGTAGCTCCCTGAATAAGCAGGCAAATGTAGCCGTAGTTATCCTGGTGCATGCTAATCAAAAGAAAAGTAGAAAATTACTATTTAAATCACAAACCAGTGTAGGTTATTTTAAAATTGCATTATAAATCAACCCAATCTTAGTTACAGGTTGATTGTAGTTTAATTAAAATTTTAATTCAAATGGAACTTCCTCTGAAATGAGCAAGTAGAAAACAAAGACTTGAGTATGCTTGACAATTTGGCAGTTTAATATCCTGTATTGAAAACTGAAAAAAAAAACCATATGAAGTAACTTTTCTTTCACAATTATGATTAAGATATCTGGACTACCAGGATCACCAGATCTTACCCAGACTTTTTGTGGAAAGGATAAAGAAACTCAAGGAAGATCTCAAAACACAAAATACTGAATCTTAGTTGTTTAACTGTACAGCAGAATTATGAATCAGAGTTTCTGCTGAAAAGCACAGAGTGTTCCTTTGGAGCCTTGATTTTCACTAGCAAGTTTCTGTAGTCTTGATTCAGGAAGAGTAAAACTAGTTCTCCTCTTGCTTAGAGTGCAAAGTTAATTGTGTAAGTCTAATGATGGAAAACAAGTAACATTTTATTTCTGGTTCAGCCACCAGGCTGGCTGCAAGTTTGAGTAAATGTCATAAATTATTACAATCACTAGTTAATATTTATGACATACCCTTTACACAAAGTGTTCATGTGACCTTTTAGGTTTTTATTTGTTTAACAAGATAAATCATCATTGAAGTTACACATGGGGAGATTATTCTAAGCCAGTCTAACCTCACTCGGTCAGTGTTGTATGTGAGTGACTCATTCTCTTTCTTCCAAAATATCTGAGGAGATGGCTCCCCTGAGATTCGGCACTCCAGTCGCACTGGGAATCCCTCAGTCACACCTGTGTTTTGTAGCTTCTCTATAAACACAGGTGCTTTTTGTACTTCCTTAGCTGTGAAAATAAAGATTGCAATTATGTTGACATTTGTCTATGAAAACATAGCCTTTCTTTCAGCAGTGTGCTAAAAACAATTATGAAAGACCTAAGTGGCAGGAAATGTAAGTGTTGTCTTCATTAATCATGAAGTTCAGTCCTGGTTTCTCTGAAGAAAACAGTCCTATCATTATTTTAATGGGGGGAAAAGTGAATGCTAAAGAGCTGATTCTTTCCTAAAATAATTGAAAAGTAGAGAATGACAACTAGATAAACTGTCTGCACTATGCTTGGTAAAAAGTGCTTTCCCATATTCCACAAAAGCATGGACTTCTAACTGAAGAAGGACCTTCTCTACCAAAAGTCTGCAGTGCCATTAGTCTGACGTGCTGTGAAATGCACAAAGCATTCCCACTGGCTGCCCGGGGCTAGGCGTGGGTCTGCACAGATTGTCATTACAAAAAAAATGTCCAGGGAAATACTCTGGTTTGTGGCTTCAAGGCCAGCAGCCCACTTTTCATAACTCTGTGCACAGACATTACATGCCAGTCAACTTATGCCAGAACATAACGTGAATATTTCACCTATAAATACACCATCCTTCTGTTACTGCCAGGTTTCCTTTTCTTACCCTCCACCCCCCCATGTGTCATTTGACGTCATTCACGTTTCATTTTTTCATGTTATCCTGGCAGTGCTCAGTCTGACAGTTTAGCATGAAGATGTTACCTGCAACAGTGAGCTCCAGGCTGAATGAATTTTCACCAGCTCGATTGCTGGCAATGCACGTGTAGATTCCAGCATCTCTAGATGTGACTGGTTCTATGATCAAGGAGTGCACCCCATTCTCACGCACCAACATTTTGTGAGAGCTGTCAGGGCGAATTGGTCTGCCGTTAAGTTGCCAGCTTAAGTCTGGAGTTGGTAATCCACTAACCTTGAGTGTAAAGAGAACAGTGGGAAATTTTTTTAGTCACATGAAACACTGGAGCAGTCCTGACTTGTTATTTCAGGGAAGTTTGGTTTGGTTTGCTACTGCAAGTGTACCAAAAGATTTAAAGATCCAATTCTGTCCTGATTTACACATTGAGTCAGTTATAGTCATTTACTTACTTTCTGGCCAACTCCCTGAATTCCATGATGTCTTCTGGGCGCGACTGGAAAAAGATCAATGTGTAGATAGGCTAGAAGCTAAATAATAATACATTGCAAAACAAAAGGCAGGGTGACACCTTTTGTCTTTTTTATTGTTTGCTCTTCAGGTGGAATGAGAAGATAGTCCTTTCTAGATTAACTTCTTTTTGGAAAACTTGCAGACAAAAAGATGTTAGCTGACTAACTACTGACCTCTGAAATTGCATTCCACTGAGGTGTGCCCTAGTGATAGCACCACCTACACAGCTTGGTCTGTGTGGACAAGTCTACGCTCTTAAAAGCTGTGCCACTTGCTGTGGGGAGCTTGCTTCAGAGAAAACAGCTTCTCCCAAATAGGTCAGCATAAAGTAAACACAAGTCACACAAGCCTGAATTATTTCTGCTCAGCAGAGTCATAAATCAGGTTTATACTGTTTGAAACTTTTAACAGGGTTCAAAACTCAAGTAGTAAAAGGACTTAAAATGTAGAAACACATTGTCTTTTTATTGTCTTTTTTGTGTGCTGCTTCCCTCCACACCCCAGCGTAGCTGAATTCTATAAATCAGTTTACTGTGAAGTCTAAGGTTTGCCTGAAGCACTTTCACTGGAGGGGAGGTAAACTTTTATTGTCCACATACTCATAAGCAATGAGATTAATTACCCTACTAACAGGCACCGAAACTGCCAATAGGCAAAATTGCTTTGAAAAGAAACCAATGTGGTTTTTGAGTCAGCTGATGTTATCAAAAGGCTGCTGCTACCCTTTGCATGACACTTGCCTTGCAGTCCATCCTGCATAGTTTTCCTTCTTGAACAGTCAGGTCTCCAGGAGCCTGCAGAAAATGAGGCCGGAAGAATCGTTCCTGAATTGGTTCATTTTCATCACCACTGTCCCTTGATCGAGATCGTGGTCTTAAAATAACATGAAATAAAGGTAAATTATTTTTTTTTCTCTGCTAAATCAGAAGAACCATAATCACTTATAAGACTGGTTTAAATTTTAAACCACTTCTTTGACTGATATTGTAATCACCCCATATTTACACACATGCACTGGTAGCATTCGGCCCAGACTGAGTTAATTATGACACTGCAGTTATTTAATTACTTTCATTTAATTCACATGTTGTGACAAACTATGACATATAAAACAACATTGCTATAGAATAATAGCTTGTAACATCAATGAATTTTATGAATGACACTATTTTTGTTTCATCTTTAAATCACTGAAATACAGATAAAACAAGCTGACAGGCCTTAGCATGTAGCTTCAGTTCCCCATGTCTAGTGTCCTGTGTATTTAATCCCCTCACTGCTGCTGATTACACCAGAAAGTACATGGAATGTTAATTAATCATGGTTCCCTTTCAGCAAATAACAGCAGCTAAAAGCTAGCTCATCTCAATTGACAAGAGACCTTTCACATCAGACTTAACAGAAAATTTTATGTATTGCATGGCTGTGGATATATTTATTCCTCATTTAACAGGTTTTTTGTATGACATACTCCTGAATATTTTCAATGCCACCAAATTGTGGAACTGAAACAATGAGATTTCAATTGCGAGCAATAGGGAGAATAGCTTTGGTTGCTGGTTTGTTTTTTTTTTTGTTGTTATTGTTGTTTTATATTTTTTTTATATTTTTAAAATAGTTTTAATAAAGGTATCATAAACAGTTTGATAAATAATAAAAAGGAAAGAAAAATAACTCCTGTTTCCATACACAGTATCAAGCACCTTAAGATTCCACGATATCATTTAATCCATTTTCAGCATTTGCTATTCTTGCCTGTTAATTTAATCCATCAAACCTTTTTTTAAGTGGTTCCTCATTTAACTACATTTTTGTTTCCACTGAAATTAGATTTTTCCATTTGTGTGATTTAGTAATCAAGAAATCTTGAAACAAAATTGTATATCCACTTTTGTCCTTGCCTGATCAGCTCCAGTGGGTTCCATTCTGGAGCCAGCTGCTGCCTACAGTAACATCCCGTGTAAAAGAGAGGAGCTACTCAAATATCCTCCAAAGACCACTTTTATCAATGACACATTACTGTGAATTTCTCTTCTTTGAATCCCACATGATGTAAATTTTTGCCAGTGTTTCTGTTTTGGCCACTGTCTGTAGTGTCTATGCTGCAGTATAGGTGCCCATATGCATTTTCTACTCCCCAAGGTAATTTCTCCAGGTTAAAATAATTCACAACAAAAAAGAGCCTAAAACCCTCAATGTTTACATTTTGAAAACAAGATGCTGTACTGCTGCATGGAAGATAAACACTCCAGCTGCACGCTCTGCTCCACTGAAGCTGCAGTTTAATTAGAGTTGCTTGAATTTGATTTATTTTGCCCTGCTTTGTTGTTGCCCTTTTCTCTGCTATTGCTGTGCTTGAATTCACAAGCATCACCTGTGCTATGTATTCTCTCTTATTAATAGTTCGATGTTGACTTTTTAATGATCGTAACAGTTTTCCAACAGTGGTAACTAAAGGCAAATGGAAGAGCTGGGGGGGCTTGTGTAGATATCTATTCCATACTGCTTAATAATGTATGTCTGGATACTGAACTGGGGAACACACACTGACATCCCTGCACACACTAAGAGCTCATGTAACTATTCAGGTGCCTAAATCCATGTCTGAAGCACCTCACAGTTTTTGCCACTTGAACACATCTAAAGCTACTTCAGTAGGTCCAACGTTGCAGCTCATAAGCAACTTTGATCAATTTCAGAGGCATGGATGCCTTGTGCAGGTAGATGGGATGGCAGATGGAGAGCAATAGGGAACAAGTGTACTAATGTTTGGTAATGAGTTCTGCAAGACTGACTAGAAATGATGGTATCTAGTCAAGTGGGTGCTGCACAGAGCAAGCAACCTGAGCAAAATCTGCCTCCACATTATTGACAAGCATCCTGTTGATAAGCTGCCAACAAAGTACAAGTAACTGGTGCTTCATAAAGTTTTGCAAAGCTGCCAAACAGGTGACTGGCACCACAGGAGTGTGAAAGCCACCATCTCATTGCTGCAGCTGCAGGAAAAGGCAGCACTAGTCCAAACTGGGAGGTGTGTGTGGGGGGAATTTATGCTAAAAAAAATGGTAAACAAAGAAGTTAAGAATTTGTGACCACAGATGTTGCATTTCTTTTTACTTCTTTGTAAATTCACCCTAAAATCACAGACTCTCTTTTAAGCCTTTGCCTTGAAAGGTGAAACTAGAGTAATTTCAATTCTAAAATATTTTGTGGTTTTAAAATATAATGAAATGAGTAGAGCCAAGTAGCTTCAGATGTCTAGCAGTGACAAAAAGACTGGAATAACTCTTGGATTCATTGTGGGCTCTTCGGAGTTGCAGTGCAGACATCACACTGCAGAGATTAGTTTCAGCAGAACTGACATCATGTACTAAATGTGTCCAGGGGAGACTCCACGGGTTGGTATGGTACAATGCACTGGGAATTTCAGTGAGCAAGAAGATGAAGAAAACTTTATGACTGACCATATGGTAACGATCACTAATTTGGAATATAGGAGATTATGTTCAAATTAATCCCCTAATTGAGAGCAAGGTGATAGGAATGTTTAGTTTTTAAATCTTCTTTAAATCTCATGCATTTTAAGATTATTTTCTCATGCATTTTAAATTTGAGACCGTGGCTGCCATGCTTAGGTGACACAATGTTTTTTGAACACCTTGTCATCTAAGGGATTGAATCCAAGCTTTGTACACATCAGAAAATTCAAGTGGCCACCCATATCAAGTGATGTTAAGAAAGTGATGTTTGTCAGCTAAGCAAATTTCAGAAAAGTATATTAAGAATGAAATAAAACCCCAGAGTTCTGCCAGAACACATACTGTAAGAGATGAAATGTATTTCAGAAAAAAAGCCTGTCAATAGTGTAACAAGTCATAAAGTTCATTAAGCTAATAATTACACTCATAATAAAAGAAGCAAACTGTTTTGTTACTCTCAAGCAGAAAAGCTTATAGAAAGAATACTGTAGTACCATAGGAATATTACTTATCAAAAGTCAATGGCAATAGACATGACAAATACCACAGTATATGGGGGAACGGTAATTTGGGATATTACGTTAGAAAAGCCAATGGCAAGAGTCTCTTAGGAAGGTTTTATGTGCTTCCATTTTATCAGTCTTGTGTGAACTCTCTGGTGGGAGTAGTGAGAACTGTCACTAAACTAGATTCTGTGCTGAATGCTTACAGAAACTGCTCTTCCAGAGCAAAGAGAATGGCATAAGCCTTTCTCATGGTAATTTTACAGGAAATAAGAATCCCCAATAACTGCCCTAATTTTAATTAACCTGCAGTACAGAAATCCTTTATTTATAATTCACTGCTCACTGAACACCCAACCCAAAGCAATAGCAGCTGCTTGAGTGCCTGTCTCCATTAGAAAATAAAATACCAGCCAGAAGCAGCCTTGGACTTTGAATGCATTTGGAGAGATTGGAAAGAGCCTCCTCCATTACTACCTGAGGGTTCTGTCCATCACAGAGAGAGAGACACACACATTTTGTCCTTCAGGAAGTGCAGGAGTGGAAAGCTTGATGCTTTCACCCCTACCTGTCTTCCCATTGTCTTTGCTTTTAAAGGTCTTTCCCCTTTGTAACCCCATGTGCACTGACTCATTCAGCTGAAGCTTGGTTCATCATGGCAGCTTTTTCCCTTTTTTCCTTTTCTCATGGACTTTCCATTTTTACCCATTATCTGAAGGTGCTAAGTGCATCAGTGACTGGACAGGCTACACCAGGTGGTCCCAAACTTTTCTGTGCTGTTCACACAGTGCAGCCTGGCAGGATATTCCCCTCCAGAGGCACTCTGAGCTTTAGGCTTAACACAAAGGGTGTCACACTGCAGAGGGAGCTGGTGGCCATCTCCGAGAAATGCTGGGAAATGCTTTCAGGGTTGCAGTTTGTTCCATGTAGGAATAAGACTGACAAGATCTTTTAACCAACCAGACTCACTTCCTAATACTTTATAGCTACCAGAAGGGGGAAGAAAGCCTGTTTTACATGCAGCAGTTCTACATTACACACTAGTACCAGTACTGTTATAGAAATCCTTTCCTGGTTGTACACTGACTGTGTAATTACTTGTACTCTGTATATTAATTAGGTAATATTGAGATTATATGGCTGTTGGAACCATTAAGCAAAGCACATGCCTCATTATAGCAGAGTCCAGAAACCAGAGCCCTCACAGTCCCTTGAAAACAGTTCTGGTAACCAAAATAATTATTTTTTTTTTGTATCATCTAAAGCTGTCTTAGTTGTGCTAAACAGCCTCATAAATGCTTTGGGCAAAGAAAAAAAATATTTGAAGGGAAAATTCCCTTATATGGCCCAAAAACCTAACCCATAGCTTCATATGGGAATAATGGTAAACTCACCAAAGATAAGTTTAATACTTGATATCTGACTCATAATTCCTTCTAACTGAACTGAAATATTAAATACTGAAATGCTAAAATATTTCTAATATAAATCTGATAAACCTCTTTGGCATGCAGTTATTAAATGAACATTTCCTAGAAGCTGCAGAAGTTGGAGGTTCCTGGTAGAATCCTAATCACATGAAATATTTTAAAAAATCTTAAGTGACAAGAGCCTTCCCAACAACTGATAGTGTAATTTGAGATACAGAGTAACTAGTGAACATCACAGAAAAAGGATGAGGAGACAGGGAAATTTAAAGATATTTAAAAGTCATGTCATTTCAGAGGTTGTTTATACTTCTGAGTGTGCAAGTTCTGCAGCAATTTTCAGACAGCAGAGGTCACAGTTCTTCCTGAATGCCATGCCTTTAACTTATCTGCTTACCTCACATTCTTTACCTTACCCCAATTATTCTGCAAAATCCATATTATTAAAAGAAAAAAAAAAAGCATCAAATACCTTCTTATGTGAGGCTGACCTGAAGGTGACCAAGGACTGCGGCCTCTTTGATTTACAGCTTGAACCATGAGCCTGCCTGTGCAACTTACTCTGCCCTGTTAGGATGATAGAAAGAAGGAACATTAAAAGACTTAAAATATGTAATAATAAACTTTCAACCTGATCTGTTGGGTTTTTTTTTTTTTGCCTACCCATTTTATTAGCTTCCAATCTAACACAGAACAGACTAGAATGACTGTGACTATAATACTTGTTTTTTTTTTAAAAAAAAGACTGTTAATACCACTGGCAATCATGTTCTCATTGACTGTTACTGATGTGGGCAGGAGGTTTCTGTGTGTGGCAAGTGAACAGAATGACAAGTTCAAGGTCCTGAAGATGGCCCATGGTGACTGTTGGCAGTAAACAGCAGAGCTGCTGCCTCCAAAATGGATTGCTCTACTTGATCTGGTGGGCCCACAACTCAAAAAATCCCTCATTAATGTGAAAACCAAAATAATTTGACAGGTACTTAACAGGTCCTCTCTGCAGAGTGAACCTGGTTTGAGGAATTGCACTAAAAGGCACAGCTGTGCTAATGGACATTGGTGATAATTCAGGTTATTTTCAATGAATGTTAAATAAAACACAGCTCTGGTGTATTTGGTCCCTTTTTTTTCTTTTCCTTTGTGTTTTAGAAGACAGGTTCTAAAGCACAAGCACTAGTCCTAACAGATTTGGGATGGAACTGCCCTGTAAGGTTGTTGGTGCTCTGCCCCTTGGGCTAGTAGCAGTAAGGCAACATCCACATCAGCTTTGCAGTGTATTTCAGCTCTAAGCTGTGAGCTCCACACTCAAAGTCTGTCAGCACGAAAGTGACAAATATTTTTATCACAGTATTTTTGGGGTTGCAAATAGCCGTTTTTAAAGAACTGTTCAAAGCCCATCAAAAAACAATTTCACTGGGCTCACAAGAAGCCTTCAAATAGCAACAACTTTTGTGTTCACTTAGAAATGAAGTCTGTGTTCCACTTCTATTCCCATGACCCATTTAGCCTGCAAGAAAAATCCCTGCATTAAAATAAGCCATTGTAAAAGACCCACAGCAATTCCTTATGTAAAAGCTTTATTTTTCCCCTCATGTTACAAGACCATTAAAGACATCTGGAACAAATGGATTTCTTTTTTGGTTACCACTACGTATTAATATTTTTCTGGCAGGTGATGAATACACATAGTTTGGGATCATTTCTGCATATCTCAATACATGATGGTCACAAATGGAAACACAAAGGGCAATAAGGTAAATTCACAAAGGGAATTTGGATAGTGAAGATTAGGAATGATAGCAGGAAACCAAAGATTTCAGAAAAGTCACAGGATGAAGAGGAAGGAAGACATGAGTGGGAAGTAATTAATGAGACGATGTCCTAGAAACTAAGAGGACTCCAGCCCAAGGACTGTGGGTGTGTAATGCAAAGAAGCAGAGAGATTGGGATAAAAAGAAAGGTGAAAATAAGAACTTGATGAGAGCCCATAGAGCTCAGTTAAGGGATATGACCTCTAACTAAAGGCCTGAACCAGGCAAGGTTTTGTGTTTGTCTAGGCCCAGGGTCCATTTGCTCTGGATTAACTTCTATAGCAAATTTTACAACAAGCCCCAGTGGTGTGTCAGAACTTTAAATCTGACTCTTAAGTAAAACTCGCTGCACTTTACACCATGGGCAATGTGGCCTGCAGTGTTAACTACCATGGATGATCTCCAGGGTCTGTCAACAAGGCATTTTACAACATTAATCCTATTATCTTAGCCCAGGTCATGAGATGGCATGAACTGGCAGAGCTTTAATGAACTGCATCCTTTGCTTTAACAGAACCAATTTCTATCAGCTGAGAACACACCTTTTGCTTTAGAGTTTGGTGATTCCAAAAGCAATGATCAAACACAGCAACAGCCTAGCAAATATCTACCAGTCCATCGGAGTTCTGATGTGAGCTCCCTTATATTGACGTACTTTGCTTTCTTAAGGAATGGTTGCCAAATTTGCCTAAGTTTGTGATAGCTTTGAGACGTGGACAACTTTCCATTAGAATTGAGAAGACTTTGCCAAGATTATTTCCACTCAGGATGACTTAAAAGAATTGGAATCCAGATCTTTGAGTGTGAAAGGCTCGTACATTAACTCACAGCCCTTCTTTGCCTCCATTGTACTGTTAAATGCATAGTAAAAGCAAGCAAATAGTGTAAGAGATAAGTATGTTTGCTTGGGAATTACACTGTAAAAAAGAGAATAGAATGGGCTTGGTGAAACAGATGTTTTTTTTAGGGGAGCCAGAGGAAGATGCTTCTGGTTCTTCTCCAAAGAGGGGAAAAAGCAAAAGCACAGAATTTTATCATTTAACAAAGCTGCTTTTTCAAGCTCCAAGCTGGGAACTGCACAAACCCAGCTCATTTTAGTACATCCAAAAACTCACTAACAAAGTAGTGCCATCAATGACCAGAACTGGTAACCTGGGTCACTCTTGTGCCATTGAATGAGCATTATCCAGAACAACAAACGCTCCAAAGGAGGCTGTAAATAATCAGGGACAGAGTACAGTGCCCAAACACAAAGGCAATTTGTTCACCAAGTTCTCCAAGACTTTGGATCACACGGTAACACTACACAGTGAAATTCTGTGCATGCATTGAGACAACACTTAGAGGAAGTTAAACAGGAACCATTTCTTACCTTGAGCATGCATATATTTTTAAACCTGTTGTGAAATTTCACAGTTTAAATGGTACCAAGTATTGTAACAATGTCATCTATGTGTAAAAGCTCCCAGCTTGAACAATTCCATAGCCTTATGAGATTTCATAAGTATTTCTTTTAGTTATATATGTAGAAATAATAGTTAAACCACCCATATTTAAGCACTTCAGTTCATAGAATCTACCCAAAAGCTGCTCTGTGTGTTGCCCTTGTGTACAACCCCTTATATTCACAAGCCCTCTGCAGTATGAGCAGGACTGACAAGCTGAAGAGTGAGACAAAAATGGCAGTGTCATGCTGAGTAACCTAGCAACGTGCAAAACAGAGCACAACACTCCTGCTTAGATTAAACTCTGTCTCAGTGATACAGTTTGTTATTCTACAGTGCGATTCTCCTTGCAGGCCTAGTATTGGCAAGATATTTGGCACTGCACAAGAAAATAATTCATTACATCCCAAAAGTTATGTTACTGCTTTGGTTTCTCACAGGCAACTCTTTCCCCTCAATTTGCTGTGGTATAGGAAAAGTGGATTGAAAAAGCTGCTTCCATAGGATGAATGACCTGTAAGTTTGGCTCTGTCTAATGAACTAGTGGGTTTCTGCTGTGTACCCTCAGCTCTTGTATTAAATCTGCAAAGAAAAAATGGCATTGCTAAACCAGTAACACTGTGTTTCAGAAAAGCAGTATAAGATCGACACAGGACTGCTACATAATAGTGATAGATTTTTTTTGCCTTACAGACTTGCAATCTGCCTAATGTAAGCAGGTTGAGGTGTAACATACTCCCACTAATTTCAAAAATTGGCCTCAGTCAGTGAGTAGGGTCAACAAAAGAAAGTTAAATTGCTGGACTGGTACTTCTGCTGGTAAATTGGATCTTTTTCTCCCTTTATATATACGTGCTATCCATGCTCAGTTAGAATACTGAAATGTTATCAGCTGAAACAACTAGTGAAAGAGTAATTAAAAAATTACACCCCTCCCCCTGAAACCTCAAACCATAGGAAAAAAACTACTGTTGAGTTGCTAATCTCTTGGAGATAAAAAGTCCCACCCTACTGATGCAAGATGAAAACAGAAATCTAACTTGCATACTTTATGGTGACTTCATCATTTAATTAAAACATGCATATGTGAGATGAGATAGATTTCTGAAGATTTATGTCCAGAAGGATGTTTGCTCTGGAGCCAAACCTTCATTTACCTGTGGGTTAGCAGCCATAATAGTGTAATTCCCATCATCATCCAGGGTGGAGGCTGCAGTATGCAGTGAGCAAGTTCCATCAGGTTCTCTTTGAATTCGGTAGTGATCACTTCGTTTAGAAATTTGCTTCCCATCTTTAAACCAATAAATCTGCAGAGAGAAAACAAAGCACAGCTGGTAAGAGGTGGGTGCTCATTGTCATAATTTCTCATTTAATAGCACTAACAAATTTAACTGCTGAAGAACTCTCTGGTAAGTAGTAAAAGAAAACAGCTTTGATCAGCTCCTCTTTCTATGAGCCACTTTCATGAACAGTTACAAGATTATCAGTGGACCAAAGAGAAACAACAGCCTGAACATTTTCCAACAAAATGTTCAGGTGCATAAGGGCTGAACATTTCAAGAACTGAAACTAAATGTCATTTCAAAGAAAATATTACTAATTTCAGAGATTAATAATTTTACGTTTATTTTGCTTAAAGCTGGAGAAGTTGTAGAAAAAACTTGAGAATGCTTTTGGTCTCTTTTCAGAAAATAAAAACAGATGAAAAACCCAAGATAATGATAGGCTTAATTAATTCAATGATGAATAAAATAGAAGCAATGATCTCACTGTTGAAACACCCGTTTTGTCTCATATCCATTACGCTGACTGGACTGGACTAAAATGCCAGAGGGGATAGAGCTGCTCCCACTGGCAGTGAGCAGCTCAGTGTGCGGAGAGGCCAGCTCAGTGTAATGACATGATTGAAACTAACAATGTCACCCCGGTGTGACAGGCCAGCTATGCAAGTGGACAGCTTTGCAAAGTAATAGGAAATACTTCAAAGCAAAGCAGCACATCGACATCCGTTAATAACTGCATGCCAACACCAGCACAGTTCCAAGCTGCACAGAACAGTTACATTGGCTATCAAACAGAGGGCTTTTCCAGTACTTTTGATACATAATTCTATTCTCTGGCTGACCCAAGATATACTTTCAGTGAGCCAAAAAAATGATGTATGCAGGATAATATCTTACAGTAATCCATGAATTACACACACAAAAAATGTATTTTTAGTGCCTCAAACTTGAAGGGAAAAAAAAATTGACCTGGCTTTCAGGATTTAAAAAAGAATATTATAATAAGAAAGTAAAATCCCAAACTGATAACTGCTGGAATCAAAAGTAAATGTTGTGTATGCATGAACACACACAGAGGAATATCTGAAAAATGTTGTCCTAGGAAAGCCGTACTCAGCTGCCCAAACCCTTATTTAAGTAGAACATTATTTCAGTCGTTTCTGAAAGGTGTACTACACATAATATCGTGCTCAGCATTTGAGACACTTGTGCCTACACCAGTGTTACTAGTGCAGATACCTACACCATTTTTACGAGGCCAACTCATTCAAAGTACAGCTGTATTTGTCCTGGTCCTGCTGGGACTATTTAGCATGAGGAAAACACACACATTTTGCTCAGGCTCATTCTTGAAGTGGAAATTTAGGGCTTAAGAGTGAGGAAAGGGTACTGGCTCTCTAGTAAAAAATGAAGTGACAGAGCAATGTGCAATTCCATTCCTGATAGAGCTTAATCTGCTGGGTTCTTCATATGTGCCAACATTTCAAAGCTTGAAATTCACTCACTTGGGGGAAAGTTAAGGATATACTTTTGAATTTCACAAAAAAGAATGGAGATTTTTTTTGGTGAAAATGAGTGGAAGTTTTCCTTAAAAATTTATTACTGTGTATGATTTTTAAATTAAAAGCATTGTGCGTAAGTTGAAATGATTTCATTTCCTCAATAGCTGGTTATGCTTGTTTCCCATTTCATCTGTCAGCAGCCTTGCAGAGACTCTGTGGCCTGAACAAAAGATTTAGTCATGTCTTCTTGTCTGCTGACAGAGCACTTACTGCAGATATAAGAGATATTTGATCACTTATATACACATGCTAATGGGTGCTAAAGCAACATTGCTGCAAAAAATGAGTTTTAACTTGCATGCTTTACATGTGTCATGATGTTGCTTGGAAATCTACTGCATTAAGTAGTAACTATTTAATAACAGTACACTTATTAGAAGTATCAGGAGACATGCATGGAAATACACACAAATATTAACTGAACCAGCTATCCAAACATCATGTATATGTTGTCCAAAACTTATTTCAACTAACTTTAAAAGCATTTGCATCCCACGTGAGTAGTAAATTCTTAATATTACCTTTATCTGACATGGAGTTAATAAGGAAAACACTACCACTGCAGGAGACAATGGCCCTTGCAGTGAAGTATTTTCTTTCTAGGATAAATTTTAATAAATGTACCATTAAACTACATAGGCACCGAACACTGCATCTGGATTACTTTTATTTGCACCAAATTTTCAGAAACCAGTGTGTAATGACTAGGAATACAATGGCACACACAATACAAAGGGAGGGTTTGATCTTGGGCAACAGAGGCATTTTTAATCACCCAAGAATTATATTCAGCCATGTGAAGAGTGCTCAGTATGAGATTTATATAACATTTGTTTCTTGATTAACCTCTTGTATGGCATTGTCTAAATTCTGAGGAGAAATAATCCCTTAAAAAGAAGTATTCCATAGTCCCTCCTGTAGCACCACAGGTTTCTCATTTTGATGAGAAAATAGTTTTACATTACACCAAAGGTTAGAAGAAAGAGTAGGCTCAGATTTAAAAAGTCATATATGAAGACAGAATTTGCACATCAGTATTCAATTTACATGGCATGTTCAGGGGAAAAAATAATCAAGCCAATAACTCTGCTTAGAAAAATCCCTTGTAATGAATGCCAGATTTTAGAAACACTACAGTCTTTCCCAAAACCATTCCTTGGCAGACCTGACAGAATACTTAGAAGGGAGGAGCTTCAAGTTAGTAAATTATTTCCAGCTTTTCATTTGCCAAAGTAAAAAATTTATTCACAAGCAACACTTCCAGCTTCAACAAATGACAGCAGAAGGGCAGCCCTCAGGCATTGAGCTTTTCAAAACTGCTGTTTTGGAATGCTCTGGCAGATGAGGGGCCTCGGACATTTGCGAAGCCTGGCTAACAAGTAGCCATACAACAGGACTGATATTGGTTCCATCCCAAGCAACTTAACAAATTACACAAAGCATCTGCGAGTGAATGGAACAAAGGGCCAGAGTTCCAGGTGCAAGAGCAAATCACTTCTTCATGTGAACGCTTTGACACTGCAGGGAAACAGAACATCACTGTGAATCACAGGGCATTCACATCAGATGCTCCTCTGTAAGGGCATGCTTTAGGGGAAGTACTAGGAATGTGGTTTCTAGGCTGTGCAATCCTTATCGGCCCAGTGAGAGAAAGGAGACATCCCCTTTCATCTGTCTTAAATCAGATAGAGAAACTACACCTTAATTGGAAACTGTGGAAATTAGGGAATGGTGAAGTTGACTAAGGCTGACTCATAATAGGTCATCTAGCAACTTAGTCATAAGCCTCAGGCAGAAAGAGTATCTCTGCACACACTGCACTTCTGTCAGCAACAGACCCATTTGCATTCCACCCTTGTTCAGCACAACAGACTCTTGCCTATGGTCATCTCAGAATGCTAGACACGAAAAGTTTGGTTTCAGTCAGACTGGGCTTATCTTCTCAGTGTGTGTGTCTTCAGTTTGAAGCAGGAGTGCTTTTTTGATATAAGTATACTGATCAACCCCACTTTGCAGTGGTTCACATAATGTACTCTTGGAGCACAGAACTGGATTCCTTTCAGATGAAACTAAGCCAAAAAATGTGCTCCAAGAACTCATCAAATGTGCATCTGCTTCAGTCTGTGGGACGAGATTAGAGCTAGCGTGGAGTAAAACCTTCTGACGTGTGCAGGGATAGATGTCTCATTCTAGAGATTTTCTTCTTCTGGTCTGCACTCTTTGCTGATGTAGATGTAGCCTTAGTTCTCTGTTTCTCTTCCTCTGCTACCTCATAAAGTCCTTTTTCTTTAAATTAACAGCTGGTACAGTATCATACACATATGTAAAGGCCATGTAAAGTTACTTCCATTTATCTCTATTTGAAATCGTAAGTACCCGTAAAGCTTACACTAGATGAGAGATTTGGATGTGAGTGCTTCCATGAAGGTCTTATGTAACAGATAGGGCATCTTTTGATCTTGTCTGAGAAGAGCCCCTGTCCACGAGAGGTCACTGTGAGAGCTGTGAGGACCTCATGGGGAAGACATTGGCTTTGCCAGGGACTTCAAGAAGCTACTGCCATTTGCCTGAGGCACAATCAGTCAGTTGATTGCCAAGTAATTTTTGAAATGGTTGTATGCAACCTCCCCAAGGAGGGCATTCTTCCAAACTACTGACATCACGCAACTGGTACTTTTACATTTGCTACAAGGAAATACTTCCCAAGCCCAACCCTCCCTCAGAAGTTCATCACTAAAACCTCACCATCATGTCTCATCTTGCTGCTGGGATATAAGGAAGCTTATGGTATTTTATTACGCCTTCTCTTACGTTCCAGTAAAACCTAGTCTTGCTAGTGTGTGTAGATGCTGAGGAATGAGAGATACCATGCTGGCTTCTGAATTAGAACCCACAGATTTTTGCATTAGCATGTTGCCATGCCTGAACTAATTACCCATGCTAGCAACATGAGGTGGCTTTTGGGACTCCTGTGCCAGCTCATGTGGGGCTTTCTAGCATTGCACTGTGTTCTGTGCTACAAATGTAGCCTGAAGGTAACTCTGAAAATGACAGAAGCATCACTTCCAGGTAAAATAGTTGAGAAGTCTCAGGAGAACTGAGAGCAGAAGCTTCATGGTAGCATTTTTTTTACTAAATTTTGACTAAATAACTCCAGTTATGCCACAAGAGATTTGCAGTTTATGCCAGTTAGGAGTATTTCTTGTCAAGTGTGAATAACTCCTCTTCCTGTAAGACACAGAGTCCAGAGCCTGATGGTAAGGTACCAACACAGAACTCTTCCAAGACATTCTAGAAATATTTACCATCTTTCCTTACCTTTGGCTTTGGATTTCCTGCCACTTTGCATGTGAATGTGACTGGCATTCCCTCAAAGATTTTGTAGTGCTTCAGCTTTATCTCAAAATATGGTGACATACTGTTATCAATAGGTTCATCTCCATGTTGCACTTCATCATCTGATTCTTCCACAGGAGATCTCTCCAGCCTGTATTCAATTTCACTGATCAACCTTTGCTCAAAGCTGGAGACTTTATATTCCTGTCAAACGAGAGGCAGATATTAGTGTCCAGCTTCAACACATTGCTTATGAAGATATGTTCTGAATGTCTGGATTTTTTTATTTTACTGATCATTAACAATCCATTAAGTTTTTACATATAAAAGGAAAATGTATCTTGTTGAAGAAAAACACTATAATCCATGTCTCCAATAACTTCCCAATGAAACAATCAAGACATCTGGTATGAGGCAAAAACTGTATTTCATGTTGTCTTAAGGTCTAATTTATAAGGGGAAAGAAAGTAATTGGTTGCTTTCTTTCCATTTTTTAAAAAAATCCTATAAGAATAAAAGTATTCTGAGGCAGTTCATAAAAACAAAAGGAACACGCTAATATTTCCTTGAGGGTACAGACAGATTTAGGGTGGGTTTTGTTTCCAGATGGCTAGAAGACCATATGGTTCACATATGCTGTTTGCATAGAACTGTACCGGAGGCTGAACCCAGAAGGAAAAAATTATTTTGTTTACAGTTGCCTGTAAAAATGAGGAAAAAAATAAGAGAAAATGGCAACAGTGGCAGTCCATGATAGTTGTTTCCCTTTACTCCTGTTGCTACGGTCCTTGTGCAGGACAAAATTTATCCTAACAGTATTGAAGATATTAGCAGGAAGAGCAGAAAGGGTCATCAAGTGTAAAACACTATGACTGGTTTGAATTTGTTATGTTTTACTGATATACACTGTTATTTGCTTTGAACTGTCTACTTTGCAGTACAGAATTCCTGCTTGGAATCTTACTGAAAACAGTGATAATGTCACACCATAAAAAAGCTCAGAAGCAGGAAAAAAAAAAATAGTCAGTGCTCTTCTCAGTCAGCAGAAATTCAGACAACTCTTTCAAATTACCTTTGGCCATTGTCTCTGACCCTTGCTGAGAACATGCATCTCATGCAAAGCATCCTTTCACATCCCCATCCTCTGTCACTGCCTCTGGTCTGAGAATAACATGACTTCTTTCTACCATCAATTACAGAACTAATCATAATCCTCAATAATCACAAAAAATAGAAAAGCAGAGGAATACCTTATAAACTGCAGGTAGTTTTAAAATGTCTTTGTTTCCTGAAGTGTACCATAAAAGTAAACCGTGAAGTACATGACACAGTTAGTATCATATCAGTGTATGTTATTGTTACAGCACAAAAATAGTGGAGCACACGATGATTGCTGTTAAACTGTCTGCACTCTTCTAGAACAACTTAAGCAGCCAAATTTCCACAGTTATTAATGCTAGATGACCTCTTGTTATTAACCAAGAACAGCAGAATGAAAATGAGAAAGAAAAAAAGACAAAAAACAAGACAGAAAAAGGTGAAAATGTTAACCTTTTGAATATCCACAGGACTCACTACAGAAGCACCAACAGAGCGAGCTTCCTGCAAGGGTAGAAAAGAAGATCAAGAGGCAGAAAGAAGACCAAGAGATATCCATGACAGTTCCTCAGAGTTCTTTTCAAGAGAATGTACTTTGTGCAGCACCATAGGCAAATGAATGCTGCACATTTCTGAATAGCAACTCTGGCATCCGAACAATGAAGAGCGTGTACCTGGCCTTTCAAGCAGACTTTCTGCTGTGGTTTTGGTCTGCACCCAAAAAGTGCCTATCACACAAATAAAAAGATGATAGTTTCAAGATAGTAGATGTATTTTTTGCCTTGAGAGACTTAAAGGTCAGGACAGAATAAGATAAATGGAAGAGTTTAAAGCAGAAAGCAAACATTCAAGAAGTCTCAACCTTATGGAAAAACTGAGCAATAGACACGTGATCCTCCAGTTTAATGCACTAATAGGTAACACATGATTTCTGTAATCAATACCCATCTTATCTTGTGTATATTTATTGCCTTATGTAAGACTTTATTTTAATGACAATCAGAGTCTGTAAAAAAGAAAAACTGAAAGACATTTTTTCCTATGAAGTTGTAGAGTTATGTGGCACCTGTATAGCAGGATCTTCTTCTGGTTCCTGTATATTGAAGACAGTTGCAGCGCTGTCTGCTCCCAGCAATCGACGAGCCATTTTCTCCTCATATGTCAATCTCTGAACAAAAAATAAAAAGGAGGTGAGAGGGGAGGCAAAAGAAAGAAAAGATATTATTTCTCCAGCTACAAAGCAGTACACAGTCAGCAATGCTTAAAGTAAGGTAGATAAAAGAGAGCAGCAATATGTTTCTAAAATAAATTTTCTACCACAGTTTGTAATGCATTTTTTTAGTATTACAAGTGTCTGTTTTGGCTTAAGCAACCCTTTGCACTGACTCTGCCATTTGTTTCCATCCTCGTGCCAGGGACTTGGGTAGGAATGAGCAATAGGAGCTGCTTAAATCAGCATGGCCATCAGAAGAGGGCATATCAAATCATCCCAAATCTTACTCCAAGTCATTATGCTCAGCTTTTATACAAGGCAGAAAACACTGCCAAAAATGATAAGGAGATTCTACTCTACTTGAATGTTTTGTCCAAAATACAGAAAAATGTATTCTTCAAGATTTTTAAATTTCTATTTCTTCTTACTCTTTCAGAAATTGAGGAGACAGCTTATAAAATACAATTTACACTAAGAAGAGAAAGCAAATTAAAAGAAAACCTTAATGTATAAACCAATTATTTCAATATTAATTTTCTTCCTGCATTTATGAATGCATTTCAGACACTTTCTTACAAATCAACATTGCAAAAAAATGCAAGTTTGTGGAAGACAGACTCATTTCATGATGAAACACCTCATTTAAAGAGAAAAACAAAAAATTAATGAAGAATGGAAAATGTAAACATTACCTCATGCTTGCATTTTTCAAAAAATCTAATTTAATTTATTTTTTTTAATGTCATGTTGCAGCTAAACCAGCAGGCTGAAACTCATGACAACTAGGTAGCAGTGTTGTCTTGGTTACAAGTGTCTAAGAAAATAATGAACTTTTCTTCACTTTTATTTCTTCTGCAGTCACTTCAAGTGCCCACGGCCACGATTACACATACAGAACTTACCCAAGACAGGAATCTGCAAGGCCAAAGCCTCAAGGCAAGCACTGAAAGAGAGTTTATTTAGTTCAAGCTCCCACATCATCTGATCACAGTTGGTCTCTCTTTTTTTTCACCTTGGGCCATGTGGGCATTCTCAGGACATTCCATTCATTTGCCCAGGACATTCATCTCCCTCATTTCCAAAAGAGTCGTTGACAGTAATTCTCAGCCCACCTCCTTGGAAAATACAGGAACTAATACACTATAACAGAGATTTTGCTTGACTGCTACAGAAAACTGCCAAACACTGTGCAGTCAATGGAGAAGGGTAACAGAAGCAGCAGTCACTGAATATTCTCCCTACTTCACTCCACTGACCTTATTAAGAACCAAAATCAAACATCTGTAGATAGATAGTCTGACTCAATGGGCTTTCTTGAACTACACCACCACAGTTCATAGCTCCGACCTAGTAGCAAACTTAATAAACCTCGGAACACTGTCCTGAGAAACATAAAATTCCACTTCCTTTCAAAGTGACACAAAGGCATCCCAAGGTATTCAGATGTTTCTTAAAAACATTTTATTGACAAAAGAGGGGTAACAGTTTACATTTTTAAAATTACTTTCCTCTTAAAAGAAATTTCTGCTTCAAAGATAGTGTCCTAATAACAGTAAAAAAATATTAGAAAAGTTGCTTCTCTTCAAATCTGAGCATGAAGAATTTGGTATTTTATCTTTTATGTGTATCTTAAGTGCATAAAAATGAAAAGAGATCTTTGTGGCTGTGCATTTCCATTGCTTCATTTTCTCATTTTACCTCATTTCTTGAGTCCTCAAGCAGGTCATTAACTCTTGAGTCTGTAAGTTAGTACTACAGGTTATTTCTGTTCTACTGGTCAAAATTATATCGGTCAAAAGAAGCCCTCCAACGGCAAAATCCAATGATGCCTGAATCCTAATGGGTTGTTTTTATGATGAACTGCCTTGTCCTTCTCTGATGTCCAGTTACCACCCATTGCTTCCCCCATTGTCCAGTGGCTGGGCACGACGTAGAATGAGCCTGGACCGAAAAAGAGCTATGCACGTACATTCACTCAGTAATGAATGGTCGAAAGCAAATGGCCCTTGAGGCTCAAAAAGTCCTGGACATACAGACTGTGCAGGCTTCTTATGCAAATTCACCATTTCTGCAACCTCCATTGCTTTGTTAAGTACAAATAAAGTTGTCAAACAGGAGAAGGAATGATAGAACAAAATGTACACTATCATTCCTTTTAGAAATGCAATTTTGAAAATTCAATTAAAAATTATAAATATATAAAGAGCAATCTACAACAATTATTTTATATGCAGCATGCCTCGGAAACTACCAATAATGCCCACTCCCACCCACTCCCATTCCCCAGGGCATTTTATGTTTTCTTACCGGTTGCCCATTGTTCAAAAGGTCTTCTTTGAAGCGAAGTTTTCTCTCCAGATCCTGAATTACAGCATCTTTTGACCCTTGAATCTCTTCATCTGATGCTATCCTAGCAGTTCTGCCTGTTTTCTTGGGAAATCCCCTGCAAAACAGTACCAAAAAAATCATGAGCTTTCCTGAAGTCATTTGTATATAGAAATTTATCTGTAATCACTGCTATTAATGAAGAAAACAACACTGTGTCTTTGAAATTAGAGGCCTGACATCTTTCTGTAGTGTACCTACTAACTCTACTGATTAAATGGTTAGTTTAAGGACAAAAATGAAACTATCCTTTATTTGTGCTGTAGTTAAAATAGCCCTCAGGATTGCTTGGCAATGGCTGTAAACACCATATACTCACAGACGAAACTGATGAGCAGTGGCAGTAATGCAAAAAAAGAGGAAACATGAAAGAGAAAGCATGACTAGGTAAGTGGGGATGGAAGATAAACTAGGTTCCTATGAAATACCAGATGAATAAAGATCAGGAAGATGTAAGACAAGGTAGTTAATTATTAATTTCTTACGTTATTTATTAACTAATTCCTTGTAGCAACTTTGTAATACACACTGCATAACTTCATGTTTATTCTTCATATCTCTGTGAACACATACCCATAAGGCAACATGTAAATATAACATATAAATGTTGTTGCTCAAAGAAGAGCCATTCACAGAGTCTGGGTTACACTGGCAAAAAGAAAAATTTTCCCTGTGAAGCAGTTCTCAGCAGCAAGATTTCCCCATGGAATAGCAACCATTTAGCAGTTCACATTCACAAGGCTAATTTATTCCTCTTACCAGTCTACAGGTTAGGATTAAACTTTCAGCAATTTTCACTCCCATTTTCTTAAACAGTGCAGGAAATTTTGTTCTTCCAGACTGCACTAATATTTAACACTATTCAGTAATGTTATGATGGCTTTTTTGCTGGAAATGCCCAGCATGGGTGGTTTCTACTGGACATCAGCTGTTCTTAACACAGTTGTGAAGAAATCAGCATTGCTATCATATTTGAAACTTGTAGCACACCCTGTTTCTTCAGTGAAGTCACACATCATCATTTAAAACACTGATAACTGGTTCAATATTAGTTTACAGGGGTTTTATACCTTTGTTGAGTAAACAGGGCTCAGAAAAATACATGGGAATGACATGGAAAACGGGACTGAATCAGATAAATAGAGAAACTCAGATGACAGAGAGAAAAAAAAATCAGACTAGCATAAAATTGGTAAACTTATTTCCAATGCACGACTTAGTAATTTAATTACCAGTGCCAAAATTCTAAACTAGAATCATATAGAGATAACAAATTTTCTTGGATATTATTCAATTCTATGTTTCTATGGTTAGAGAAATTTCATTCTTCAGCAAATGCTTTCAATCATAATTTCTAGCATTAGAAAAAATGAAAAAATACACATATGCTATCAAAAGCCCAAAAGGAATTAACTGAATAGATGAAGAAGACAATAGTTGGAAACCTTCCTAACTAAAGCATTTTATATTCCATTGCTCCAAGTAAATGCAAAATGTGAAAACAGTGAAGTTCTTGTAAAAAGAACTGTATTTTCACATTAAATCACAGCATAAGAGCAGACATTTCCCGTTTTACAAAGAGACAGAGAACTGCATCCCTTGCCCTAGAAATACTGATTTCTTAGCTGATGATCACCAAGTAGAATAATTCCCTCAGCTGTCAGCTGGGGGTCTTCTCACTCACAAATAAGAAAACAAGTCCTACACTGTGTTTTGCAGTCCCACTCTGTTTTGCAGAAGAGACAGGAAAACTGTCCCGTCTACAGGGAGACAAGAGAATGTTAAGAAAAAAGGGATAAAGTCTCTTCAAGAAAGAGACTGCATCAATAACTCCAGAAATTTGGTTCAGTAAATGTAAAGGAAGACATGGAAGGAAGATCAGCAGGAGAAGGTGGGAAGAGGGCATCAGAAGAGAATGTCCCTCAGGAAGGCTTGACCATCTGCTGGAAAGCCAGTGGACAGATGCCATCTGTTTCTCCCCTTAACAGTCTTTCCCTTCACCTCTCCACCCTTAATTATTTAGGCCAGCATTGCCGTGAAACCAAATTTTGTCACTTTTTAGACTACACCTCCCCCAAAAAATTAAAACCTCCAAACAAATAACAACAAAACAAAAATAACGCAAAACCAAACCCAACCCAAAAATCAGCCAACTTCAAGGCGGCAAATTTCAAGTTCAGCTTCACCTTTGGCTTTACCCTGTGCCAGCTTTTAATGGAGACTTGCATCGTCCCTTGAAAATTCCAAGTGAAACATTAAGAAATAGCTTTCATTTCTCATTCTCCTAGGTTTCATACCTGGACTGATAAACAGAGTTTTACCAGAAAAAGGCCTGCTTGTGCTTGGGACTCTTTTGGTTGTAAAGGTGAAATAATTACCTAAGTAAGTCAAAACAGTGTACAAAAAGAAGGATGAGCTACATGCTTGGGAGTGGATTTCAAGTAATAGATTTTCTGAAGCATTATTGATTATCTCTGAAAACAAAAACCCCTAAGCAAATGCACACATTTTTCACAGAGGAATGAATACCCAGAGAATTACAAGTCGGTAAATTCAACATCCATACTAAACACAGAAAAACAATATCACAGTCCATTTCTAAACAATGTAGGATAGTAATAAAATGAAAACTGAATCATGTCAAACCTCATGTTTATCTCTCTGTCAGGCTGAAGGGCATGAAGATAGGCAACAAGAAGTAGCTTTAATACACTTCAGTTTATGGCTTCTGAGTTAGCCTTCAGGAGCTGCAGTAAGTTCCCTAGTAAATCAGGGAAACAGAGTGTGGCTGAAATTTCTATGATCTGGCTGTGTAAAGCTATTCAGTCTGAAAAAGCTGTTCAGAAAGAAACAGTGATTTATTTTTCTATCGAACTGAAATAATATAGTCCAATAAGGCTTTTCAAAGAGCTCTGTATACTAAGTTGAGCACTTAAGATTTTGGAAAATTGGAAAAATAAAATAGAGAAACACATTTCTCAATTCATTTGCAGGTAACAACTGTCACTTACAATAATCTTCATGATTTGTCTAGAGGTATTCTAATGATGAAAACGCAGGAAAATGCTCAAAGCAATGCTAACGGAAAATTAGGGTTAATACATTAAGCATCTGTTGAGAATCTATGAGATTCTCATACTCTCACACATAAACTTGGAAAATAACACTATTATTTCAAGAAGAAAGGAAATATAATGCCAAGGCATGTCAGCATAAGACATGAAACTGAGCTGTTTTCCTTTATTCCTTCCTATTAGACATTGAATCCAGTTTTACCATTGCACTTCAAGAAAAATACAGCAAACTGGAAAGTTTTAGAACAAGAAAACTAAAAGTATTTTAAAAGTATAGCTTTTGCAACAAACTATGTCTCACACACACAGAGGCAAAAATTCTTGTTTATTTAGTTAGGAAATTAGGATAATGAAGATAGGCAAATCAAATGAAATGTCAGAAACCAGACAACAGCTGACATCAGAAAATAGCTGCTGACATCAGAAAATAGCTGGAATTTAATCATTCTTCATGTCCATTGAGGATGGTAAGTCACAGTAACTTGAAGAAGAACGGGCTTAGCTTAGACACGAACAATGTAAAACTCTCCTTTCTCCACCCTACAGCAGTGACATTTAAACCCTGGAGCAAGTTATGTAGCAAACCTACATAGGAATTTTATTTAAGAACAAGGTATGCAAATATGACAGCAATGGCCTGGGGATCCCTGAGTAACTTTTAACAGGAAAGGCAGACTCCTTAATAAACCTTCCAAATCTCTGGTTTTGTGTAACGTGATCCTGAGCTCTGCACAGTCAGTGTGCAAGTGTCACCCAAGACCTGGTCTAGGGAACTTGCCTGAAAACTAGATTATCTTGTATTTAAGCAAGGAAGTAGCTGGTTCAAAAATTTAACTATAAAAGTGAGCACCAGTCAAAATTTCTTCAAATACCTTTAGAGAGCTTCTCTCCTCCTCTTTCAGTACCGTTTTAAATTGGGACAAAAAAATCCCAAAGTAGTACATAAGGAAACATAGCTCTTCCTGCAGATGCTCTGTTTCCACCCCCTCTTCAGAATCTCTTTCCCTAAATATATACACTTCAAATATGTATATATATATATATATA